CGCATACGAGTTTAAGATAAACTTCAATGCGGGGGCGCATATCAAGGATGCATCTGGGGATGCGACTCTCAACTGTGCGACAAGGGCGACGAAAGATCGATACAGTCACCTGCGCCGGAGACGCTTACCACAAGACACACCCCGGCGTATTTTGCACTGGGTTCCATCTTGAACTCCGCTACGGGAAGCTATGGGTGACCCTCGTTTCTCATAGCCCAGTGTGGATACAGCCACCTGCGCTAGAGACGTTTACCACGGGGAGCACCGCGTCGTATCTTCCATTGTTCCCCATCTTGAACTTCAATAAAGGGAACTATGTGTGCTCCTTGTTTTTTGTCTGAAGACGGCCGCGCAACTGCATGCTTCCAACCGCCCCTGATTTACCACCTCCCCCGCTGATCCTTTCTGGATGGGCTGGTGGGGATACATGCTTGATCGTGACCGCGAACGGACAACCGCGCGGCGTCGTAAAGTCGTGCGGAAAAAGGGGCCGCTACGCCGAGCCGGCTACACGGCACCGCGGGCGAAGCAGGAGCGTCAAGAATTCGAACAACAACCATAAACTTGCAACATGTTGTATCCATCATCTTCCACAACACGGCCCTCTCGCGCGCGCATGTCGAAACAATTCGAAGGTCCTTGCGCGCGTGTTGGGCGGGTGGGATGATCCCTGTCGAGTAATGCCACGCGGGCCACTCGCGCGCGTCGGCCGCGCGCGCATGTCGATATCATTTCAAACCCTTCCTCACCGATGCGAGGACACCATCAGCGTCATCGGCGTGATCAGCATCGGCGCCGTCATTCGCCTTGCCGTCGCCATCGTCATCATCACCGTCACCATCATCGCTACTACCATCATAGTGCTTACCGATGTCGCCGAAGTCACCAACTCGCACTGGAGTGCCCACGCGTCAGCGCTGCCTGCGACACGCGCTGTGGTGTCCAGCGGTCAGCGCCACCGCGGTCGCGTCGGTCGCGCCACACTAGCTCGCCGCTGTGCGCGCGAGCGTGCGCGGGCTAGCGCGGCCGCACAGATGCAACAGCCAGCACCAAACACTCATCGCAATCGCCGCCGCATGGATTTGGCAAACCATGCTGCGGGTGGTTGGGTTGAACGATTGCGCGAACAGTGCAGTTGGCAACCCCAAGCTTGTCAAAATCAACTGCACCACAGCGCTCACACCGCCTAGCTCTCACCACACAGCCTGCACCACACAGCGCGAACATCCTCAGTGCAAGCACTCACTGCTCTCGGGGCCCACGCTGGCCAACATGCATTCTTCGACGAAGGTGCCCGACAGTCAGGAGGCAGGAGGGCGCGGAGACGGAGGGCAGGAGGGCGGAGAGGAGGAGATGGGGTGAGATGAACGACCCTGAGATCCGGCATCGGGGAAACAACAAATCGCGACCGGAGCCGGAGGAGGAGGAGGAGGAGGAGGAGGAAGAAAAACAAGAGGACGAGGAGGAAGACACACCGATTGCTCGCCCCCCCCCTCTGATCCGAGGCGCCCCGCTCGGCGGGCCTCCGCCGGGCGCATCTGGCGCGTGACCCCCCGGGCGCGCGCCTGCGGTCGGGGTGGGCGGGCTCGCTCTTGCAGGCTCGCCGCCCCCCTCGTCTACAGCGAAGGCAGGATCGGGACAACGTCCGGATCGGAGCGCTGCGACCAACGCCACCTGCTCTTGCAAGCCGAAGCCCTGTCTTCGCACCCGAAGATATGTCGCAAGGGCCGCGAGGGTGAATGCGTCGCGTTGGCCGGCGGAGTTCTCTGGGGGCGTTCTGCGGTCGGCGCGCGAGGCTGCCCACGGGGAGATTCCAAATCGGGGGGCGGTCGGCGGGATCCTCGCTTGAATGGCTCGTCGCCCCCCCCCTTCGTCCAAAACGGACAAAAAAAAGGCGGGATCCGAGCTACGATCGGAAAAAGTCTGCTTAGCGTTTGAGCAGGGACCGAGCGTCCCAGAATTTCTATAGACCCGATGTGTTAAAACAAGACAGTCCCAGCCAGAAATGTTCTGAGAAGACTTCGTGGGAACCCCGGTGGCGGCCCCAGCGACACGCCATGCCCTGCGAGGTGGCACGTCGCCCCGCTCCGCAGCGCGGGCGACTGGGGAAGACTCGGGACGCTGACGCCTGGGGAGCGGGCCGTGGTCAGCGTGTCGCGCCGAGGCGCAGTCGGCCCAGACCAGCGGCGCGACGCGCTGCGCCGCCAAAAGCCTCGGCCGCACATCGGGACTATCCGAGATCTGGCGGCCATGAGCTCTAAGGGATGCATCGGGTGCCGCGGCCTTGTCGGAGGGTGCTCTGGTGCGGATCTCTCCTCGCCCTGTCCGCGACCGACGATGCCTGGCACTGCCCAGGAGTTCAGCTGGGCACGCGAGGACAACGTTAGCCGCATCCTGGGCCCGATTCACCGTCTTGCTCTTGGACCCGATGTGCACAGGTTCTGGAGCGATGTATCCCCCAACTCCAAGTTCTGGAACGATTTATCTCGATCCTGGGCCCGATTCGTCGTCTTGCTCAGCTTCGCCCGCGGCTCGACCCTCGACGGTCGAGAACGCGCGCGCGCCATGCACCTCAGAGGTGCGTCGGCAGCAGTAAGCAGACAGAAAGAAAGGAAGAGTCACAGTGCACCCTGCGCACCAAAGTTGCGAGCTGCACGTCGCCACGTCTGGGCGCTCCGTTGCCATAGCTGAAGCCATCTGTCCTCGTGGCCGGCCGCTTGGCACGCCATGGCGGGTTTGGGAGGAAAAATGAAGAATATGTCAACAACAATACCCAAACAATTGTCAAGCAGAGTCCAACATACTCCTTGTTTGCTACTATGTTTCAACATTTCTCCTGAGGGACATGCCCGACCTGAATCTACTGGGAGTGCGCCGTCTGACGAGGATCGTGGCACGCCGCCCGCCTGCCCGGATGCGCGAGCACTGCCAAGGCAGAGTCGAGCAAAGGAGCATCGGGTGCACAGGAGGCGAGTCGGGGCGGTTTCGCCAAGAAGGAACCCGAGCCGAGGTGTGGCACGGCACGGCCATACCTCGGCAAGGCCGAGCCGAGGTATGGCCCGGCAGCGGACCGAGCCGAGCCAGAGACAAGGCATGGCGCGGCACACGCCCCGCGAGCGGATTCGCCCCAAGGAAGGGGGCCAAGCATCGCCCTCCCCCAGGAGGAGATACCAGCAGAGCCTCGGCGAGGCCCTGGGAGGAGGATTCTGGGAGGCCTCCGAGATGGGCCTGGATCTTAACGAGGAAGCCGGACACTGGACAAGGCAAGACCCTAAACGACCTAAATCCCCCTCATAATTCGTCATCGAGCCTAAAAAAAAGACCAGGGCGGACCCTCGCGCAGCCCAGGCAATCGCGAATCTCTGCGTCTGTTCACCTGATGTCCCTCGATCTGTAGCCCAGACTGACCGCACGCGCTGCCGCGGCGAGGACATTTCTATCGCTGACCTCGGCGACAGTTCTAAAAAAGTCTAAAAAAGAGGACAGGAGCATGAGAGGGCCAAGCGTGCCTCGTGGGAAAGTCAGTGGTCAGAACCTCGAAGCGCTGGCGTCGTCCCTCCCCACCACTCCTCAATTAAGGGTCCCGAGACGCTGCGGTGACAGACCGTGCGGTGACCTCAAACCTCCCAAAGACCTCACCGCACGGTCCATCACCGCTCGGTTTTGAGACCTTCGAGGCCACAGTCGCCCGAGACATCCTCGGAGAACTCGAGTCCAAAACCGTGCGGACACCTTCAATCCCCCCCCTTCCATCAAGAAAGTCCTGGAAGGGCTTCGGAGGCTCGCCAGCAGCCTTGGAGCACCACGGCTACTCCAAAGCTGCGCCCCACTGATACCTCTCCAGACGAGCAGGAATCGCTCAAAGCAGCAACCTCGTCCTACTCCTGCGCGAGCCGGACTGACGGAGATTTATCCATCACCACCGCCTGGGGGGTCCATTCGGGGACCTCAGCGGGCACTGGACACGGATAGATTCGGGTCGCAGGAGGCCGAGTATATCCATATCCACCGCCTGCCGAGGTCTCCAAAGATCGAGCCTACAGACTCTGTGGTTTATGGATAAATCTCTGCCTTCAGGGGTCGTTCATAGTCCATAGCGGCGCCATCCTCCTCCGTCTCGGGAGGTCCAGGCTGTGGCAAACAAAAAAGCTAGCAACCCTTGTGGGATACAACATTTGTCGAAGGCACAACTTTTTAGCTGCCACAAGCGTGTGCCTTCAATGAGCCCTTTGCCGCCGTTTTTAGGTTTCGCCTTCAGTGAGCTCATTGTCGCCAACCTTTGCCTCCCGCCTCCTCCTTCTCCTCCTCCTCCGTCTTCTCCTCCTCCTCCTCCTCGTCCTCCTCCTCCTCCTCCTCCTCCTCCTCCTCCTCCTCCTCCTCCGCTGAAGACCCCGGAGCCCGCTTCGGGCCCTGGGGCCCATGGTGAGACTGCGCAGGGCAGGCTCCGCACGGCACATCAACAAGATGTTGCACCGCCTGGCGCGGACAGTACATCGCATCGCTGTTCTATAAGCGTTTGGTTTCCCCCCCCCCTCCCACGATCTCAATATTGGGTCAGGTCTGTGCTGGTCGAAACAGCTCGGTGGTGCAGCATTGTGTCGGGAGCCCCTGGGCGGCCCAAGGGCTTTTCGCCGTGCGCCCAATATTAAGATCTGGGGGGAAGAGGGGGGGAAAAAGAAATGCAGGATAGGCGCCAGTGCACAGCAACAGTGGAGCAACATTTTGCCGATGTACGGTACGAAGACGTTGCCGAAGCTCCAGAGGGCCCACGGCGGAGTTCTGGGTGCACTGCAGGCACGACCACTCGAGACGGAGCCAACAGGCAAACGCGCAGCGGCCCCGACAAAACCGAAGGCCGCAAAGGGGCCTTGCCTGACATGTAAAGGCGAAGAGACGTGGTCAAAAGCGGCCTCGGCGACAAATTGCGCCTTCCGTTGTGACCACTTGGCCATCCCACGAGCACACTGGCAACCAAGAAGCTAGACATAACCCTGGCCAGCTCAGTAATACTGCTTGCCGCCGCCCCACTTCTCCGGGATAACGTAATTCTGGTACAGGATATAGGCAGAGATGTCGTACAGGTCCTGGGCAGGAGCAGCGCAGCGGCCCCACAGAGCCCATCCGAACCATGGGGATCTTACGACAAATAAGCGCAGGGGCAGGTCCTTTTGACTCCCGGCGAATCTCTGAGTGCAGCATCAGCCGTTCGCCGGCACTCCCGAGCTGTAAGCGCGACCCCCAACCGCCTTGAAGGAGTCGTCGTGCGCAGCCCAGAACGGAGGGGTGGAAGGGTTGGAGGAAGACGAGCGGGAAAATGATGTGCCAGTAGCCCAGGGAGCAAGGGGCGTAGCGGGAGGAGGGGGAGAAGCGCGCTCGATCAACGTCAGCACGGAAATGATCTGCGCTCGTTCACGAGGGAGGGGCATGGTGGCGCGATGGACCACCTACGCCACCTGCCCGCCCTAAACTCCCCCCAAGGAGCAAGAGAGAAGGAGAGACGCAGCCCAGCCTCGCCAGGCAGGTCGAGGTAGAGAATGGGGAGGAGGGGGGGGAAGGAGGAAGGGAGAGGACGAGGAGGAGAGAGGACAAGGAGAGGATGAGGGGGCATCCGCGTCCTGGTTCACGCCTCGTTGAACAGGCGGAAGAGGCATTGTGAATACCGTCCCACGCACAGTCACTGTCCAGAGCCTCGCGCAACAAAACGATCCAACATACGGACCCGCGAACGACGACGACACAACAGCGAACACACCCAGAATCATACCTGAATGACCCGCTAGCAGCCTCCACCAGCACATGGCATGCCTGACAGACTGCACCCGCCTGCCCGCAGGGATTTCAAGGGGGTCGCGCCACAGCTACACACGAACGCCAGAACGAGCGCGGCTCGCAGGCAGGTATAGGGGAACAAAAAGTGGCATAAATATAAAAACTCGGAGGTCCGCGCGGATTTCTCGGATCGGCGCTGGACCCCCCTCCCTCGCGCGCGGAGTGCGCCAGGGGCGGCGCCGGAGGCGCCGCCGGGGGGCCCCAGCGCCGATCCGAGAAATCCGCGCGGACCTCCGAGTTTCTATGTGTATGTCACTCTTTGTTCCCCTGAGGTAGCAGCCGCTGACTGGCGACGGTTAGACTGACTCGCCACCATGAATCCAATCTCCGCATGCTGCGAGTGCCCGCGCCTCCAGGATGAAGGGGCCCCAAAATAAATACACACAGATAAAACAATTCACCATGTTTACCCATGTCTTCGGGGTTTTCGTCTTCCCCACCACACCCATATTTTTCCATATTTTTGTGTCTGTGTGTTTTTTTCCCAACCATCCTGTGGTGTTGGGTCCTCGTTTTCAAGAGACGTCGCCCCGAGTTCCTTCTCCTCCCCTCCTCCTCTCCTCTCCTCCTCCCCCCTCCTCCCTGCGTTTCACCCACCCAGTACAACGCTTCGTGGCCCCATAAGGAGCTCCACCGAAGGCCTCAGTGGCAGCGTTCGCATGTGGGCCCCACCCCATTTCGGCACACCCCTCACGAGGATCGTGGCCCCATAGGGAGCTCCACCGAAGGCCCCAGTGGCAGCGTTCGTATGGTGGCTCCGCTCCATTTTGGCGCACCCCTCACGAGGATCGTGGCCCCATAGGGAGCTCCACCGAAGGCGCCAGTGGCAGCGTTCGCATGGTGGCTCCGCCCCATTTTTGCGCCCCCCTCACGAGGATCGTGTCCCCATAGGGAGCTCCACCCAAGGCTCCAGTGGCAGCGTTCGCATGGCGGCCCCGCCCTATTGGCGCACCCCTCACGAGGATCGTGGCCCCATAGGGAGCTCCACCGAAGGCGCCAGTGGCAGCGTTCGCATGGCGGCCCCGCCCCATTTCGGCGCACCCCTCACGAGGATCGTGGCCCCATAGGGAGCTCCACCGAAGGCCCGAGTGGCAGCGTTCGCATGGTGGCCCCGCCCCATTTTGGCGCACCCCTCACAAGGATCGTGGCCCCATAGGGAGCTCCACCCAAGGCTCCAGTGGCAGCGTTCGCATGGCGGCCCCGCTCCATTTTGGCGCACCCCTCACGAGGATCGTGGCCCCATAGCGAGCTCCACCGGAGGCCCCAGCGGCAGCGTTCGCATGGCGGCCCCGCCCCATTTTGGCGCACTCCTCACGAGGATCGTGGCCCCATAGGGACCTCCACCGAAGGCCCCAAGGATCGTGGCCCCATAGGGAGCTCCACCGAAGACCCCAATGGCAGCGTTCGCATGGCGGCCCCGCCCCATTTCGGCGCACCCCTCACAAGAATCGGGGCCCCATAGGGAGCTCCACCGAAGGCCACAGTGGCAGCGTTCGCATGGTGGCCCCGCCCCAATTCGGCGCACCCCTCACGAGGATCGTGGCCCCATAGGGAGCTCCACCGAAGGCGCCAGTGGCAGCGTTCGCATGGTGGCCCCGCCCCATTTTGGCGCCCCCCTCACGAGGATCGTGGCCCCATAGGGAGCTCCACCAAAGGCCCCAGTGGCAGCGTTCGCATGGCGGCCTCGGGCCATTTCGGCACACCCCTCACAAGGACCGTAGCCCCATAGGAGCTCCAGCGAAGGCCCCAGTGGCAGCGTTCGCATGGCGGCCCCGCCCCATTTCGGCGCACCCCTCACCAGAATCGGGGCCCCATAGGGAGCTCCACCGAAGGCGCCAGTGGCAGCGTTCGCATGGCGGCCCGCCCCATTCCGGCACACCCCTCACGAGGATCGTGGCCCCATAGCGAGCTCCACCGGAGGCCCCAGCGGCAGCGTTCGCATGGCGGCCCCGCCCCATTTTGGCGCACTCCTCACGAGGATCGTGGCCCCATAGGGAGCTCCACCGAAGGCTCCAGTGGCAGGGTTCGCATGGCGGCCCCGCTCCATTTTGGCACACCCCTCACGAGGATCGTGGCCCGATAGGGAGCTCCACCGAAGGCCCCAGTGGCAGCGTTCGCATGGCGGCCTCGGGCCATTTCGTCACACCCCTCACGAGGATCGTGGCCCCATAAGGGAGCTCCAACGAAGGCCCCAGTGGCAGCGTTCGCATGGCGGCCTCGGGCCATTTCGGCACATTTCTCTCACGAGGATCGTGGCCCCATAGAGAATTCCTCTTGCTTCGTCTCATCTGCCCTGCGGTATTCACGTTTGCATATGGTTGGGTCCTTCGCCAGGAAAATTCCCATCCTGAAGACGATTTGTGTCTGTGTGTTTTCCCGAACCATCCTGTGGTGTTGGGTCCTCGTTTTGAAGAGACGTCGCCCAGCGTTCCTTCTCCTCCCCTCCTCTTCTCCTCTCCTCCTCCCCCTCCTCCCCCCTCCTCCCTGCGTTTCACCCACCCAGTATAACGCTTCGTGGCCCCATAGAGAGCTCCACCGAAGGCCCCAGTGGCAGCGTTCGCATGGCGGCCCCGCCCCATTTCGGCACACCCCGCATGAGGATCGTGGCCCCATGGGGAGCTCCACCCAAGGCCCAGGTGGCAGCGTTCGCATGGCGGCCCCGCCCCATTTCGGCACACCCTTCACGAGGATCGTGGCCCCATAGGGAGCCCCATCGACGGCCCCAGTGGCAGCGTTCGCGTGGTGGCCCCGCCCCATTTTGGCGCACCCCTCACGAGGATCGTGGCCCCATAGGGAGCTCCACCGAAGGCCCCAGTGGCAGCGTTCGCATGGTGGCCCCGCACCATTTTGGCGCACCCCTCACGAGGATCATGGCCCCATAGGGAGCTCCACCGAAGGCCCCAGTGGCAGCGTTCGCATGGCGGCCCCGCCCCATTTCGGCACACCCCCTTACAAGGATCGTGGCCCCATAGGGAGCTCCACCGAAGGCCCCAGTGGCAGCGTTCGCATAGCGGCCCCGCCCCATTTCGGCACACCCCTCACGAGGATCGTGGCCCCATAGGGGTCTCCACGGAAGGCCACAGTGGCAGGGTTTGCATGGTGGCCCAGCCCCATTTTGGCGCACCCCTCACGAGGATCGTGGCCCCATAGGGAGCTCCACCGAAGGCCCCAGTGGCAGCGTTCGCATGGCGGCCCCGCCCCATTTTGGCGCACCCCTCACGAGGATCGTGGCCCCATAGGGAGCTCCACCGAAGGCCCCAGTGACAGCGTTCGCATGGTGGCCCCGCCCCACTTTGGCGCACCCCTCACGAGGATCGTGGCCCCATAGGGAGCTCCACCGAAGGCCCCAGTGGCAGCGTTCGCATGGCGGCCCCGCCTCATTTCGACACACACCTCACGAGGATCGTGGCCCCATAGGGCGCTCCACTGAAGGCCACAGTGGCAGGGTTCGCATAGCGGCCCCGCCCCAGTTCGGCGCACCCCTCACGAGGATCGTGGCCCCATAGGAGCTCCAGCGAAGGCCTCAGTGGCAGCGTTCGCATGGCGGCCCTGCCCCATTTCGGCACACCCCTCACACGGTTCGTGGCCCCATAGGGAGCTCCACCGAATGCGCCAGTGGCAGCGCTCGCATTTCGGCCCTGGGCCATTTCGGCACACCCCTCACGAGGATCGTGGCCCCGTAGGGAGCTCCACCGAAGGCGCCAGTGGCAGCGTTCGCATGGCGGCCTCGGACCATTTCGGCACACCCCTCACGAGGATCGTGGCCCCATAGGGAGCTCCACCGAAGGCGCCAGTGGCAGCGTTTGCATGGCGGCCCCGCCCCATTTCGGCGCACCTCTCACGAGGATCGTGGCCCCATAGGGAGCTCCACCAAGGCCCAAGTGGCAGCGTTCGCATGGCGGCCTCGGGCCACTTCGGCACAACCCTCACGAGGATCGTGGCCCCATAGGGAGCTCCAACGAAGGCCCCAGTGGCAGCGTTCGCGTGGCGGCCTCGGGCTATTTCGGCACACCCCTCACGAGGACCGTGGCCCCATAGAGAATTCCTCTTGCGTCGTCCCACCTGCCCTGCGGTATTCACGTTTGCATATGTTTGGGTCCTTCGCCAGGATAATAATTCCCCTCCCGAAGACGATTAAGTGTGTCTGTGCTTTTTCCCCAACCATCCTGTGGTGTTGGGTCCTCGGTTTGAAGAGACGTCGCCCCGCGTTCCTTCTCCTCCCCTCCTCCTCTCCTCTCCTCCTCCCCCTCCTCCCCCCTCATCCCTGCGTTTCACCCACCCAGTACAGCGTTTCGCGGCACCATAGGTAGCTCCACCGAAGGCCCCAGTGGCAGCGTTCGCATGGCGGCCACCCACATTTCGGCACACCCCTCACGAGGATCGTGGCCCCATGGGGAGCTCCACCGAAGGCCACAGTGGCAGCGTTTGCATGGCGGCCCCGCCACATTTCGGCGCACCTCTCACGAGGATCGTGGCCCCATAGGGAGCTCCACCGAAGGCCCCAGTGGCAGGGTTCGCATGGCGGCCCCGCACCATTTTGGCGCACCCCTCACGAGGATCGTGGCCCCGTAGGGAGCTCCACCGAAGGCGCCAGTGGCAGCGTTCGCATGGTGGTCCCGCTCCATTTTGGCGCACCCCTCACGACCATCGTCGCCCCATAGGGAGATCCACCAAAGGTCACAGTGGCAGCGTTCGCATGGCGGCCCCGCTCCATTTTGGCGCACCCCTCACGAGGATCGTGGCCCCATAGGGAGCTCCACCGAAGGCCCCAGTGGCAGCGTTCGCATGGCGGCCCCGCCCCATTTCGGCACACCCCTCACGAGGATCGTGGCCACATAGGGAGCTCCACCGAAGGCCCCAGTGGCAGGGTTCGCATTGCGGCCTCGGGCCATTTCGGCACACCACTCACGAGGATCGTGGCCCCATAGGAGCTCCAGCGAAGGCCCCAGACAACGTTCGCATGGCGGCCCTGCCCCATTGCGGCACACCCCTCACACGTTTCGCGGCCCCATGGGGAGCTCCACCGAATGCGCCAGTGGCAGCGTTCGCATGGCGGCCCAAGGCCATTTCGGCACACCACTCACCATAGGGAGCTCCACCGGAGGCCCCAGCGGCAGCGTTCGCATGGCGACCTCGGACCATTTCGGCACACCCCTCACGAGGATCGTGGCCCCATAGGGAGCTCCACCGAAGGCTCCAGTGGCAGCGTTCGCATGGCGGTACCGCCCCATTTTGGCACACCCCTCACGAGGATCGTGGCCCCATAGGGAGCTCCACCGAAGGCCCAATTGGCAGCGTTCGCATGGCGGCCTCGGGCCATTTCGAAACAGCGACACAGATATACATCGAGAGACAGAGAGAGAGAGAGAGACAGACAGACAGAGAGAGAGCGAGAGTGACAGAGAGAGAGAGAGAGAGACACAGAGAGAGATCGAAAGAGAAAGAGAGAGAGAGAGAGAGCCAGAGAAAATTAGACTGGCGAAGGACCCAACCATATGCAGTTGAGAGTACCGCAATTGTGAATATCTTCTTCGGTGGCGCTCCCTATGGGGCCACGAGCCGTATGAGGGGTGTGCCGAAATGCGTGGCAGTGTACACAACACGAACGAAGACGATAGGTCCGAATATGAAAGCTTGAGCGCGTGCGAGTCGGATCGCGAGCGAGTCTGATTATGAATGAATCTGCGCGCGATTGATTCTATTCGCATGAATGCGTGCATGGATACGCCCAGTGTAAATGTATGTATACGACTGTGAACAGTTTGGGTCTGCGTGACTCTCGGTACTCGTGACTCTGAGCGTCGCCTCTGCAGGGGGCTTCCCTGGGAACCCCGACGGCAGCGCCCGCGCGCCGCGACGCCCATGTCGGCACGCCACACACCTGGTGTGCGGGACGCATGCGGACGGCAGCACTGGGGCCTTCGGTGGAGCTCCCTGTGGGGCCACGAAACGTGTGAGGGGTGTGCCGAAATGGGTGTGCGGGACGCATGCGGACGGCAGCCATGGGGCCTTCGGTGGAGCTCCCTATGGGGCCACGAAACGTGTGAGGGGTGTGCCGAAATGGGTGTGCGGGACGCATGCGGACGGCAGCATGGGGCCTTCGGTGGAGCTCCCTGTGGGGCCACGAAACGTGTGAGGGGTGTGCCGAAATGGGTGTGCGGGACGCATGCGGACGGCAGCCATGGGGCCTTCGGTGGAGCTCCCTGTGGGGCCACGAAACGTGTGAGGGGTGTGCCGAAATGGGTGTGCGGGACGCATGCGGACGGCAGCCATGGGGCCTTCGGTGGAGCTCCCTATGGGGCCACGAAACGTGTGAGGGGTGTGCCGAAATGGGTGTGCGGGACGCATGCGGACGGCAGCACTGGGGCCTTCGGTGGAGCTCCCTGTGGGGCCACGAAACGTGTGAGGGGTGTGCCGAAATGGGTGTGCGGGACGCATGCGGACGGCAGCCATGGGGCCTTCGGTGGAGCTCCCTATGGGGCCACGAAACGTGTGAGGGGTGTGCCGAAATGGGTGTGCGGGACGCGAAATGGGTGTGCGGGACGCATGCGGACGGCAGCACTGGGGCCTTCGGTGGAGCTCCCTGTGGGGCCACGAAACGTGTGAGGGGTGTGCCGAAATGGGTGTGCGGGACGCATGCGGACGGCAGCCATGGGGCCTTCGGTGGAGCTCCCTATGGGGCCACGAAACGTGTGAGGGGTGTGCCGAAATGGGTGTGCGGGACGCATGCGGACGGCAGCACTGGGGCCTTCGGTGGAGCTCCCTGTGGGGCCACGAAACGTGTGAGGGGTGTGCCGAAATGGGTGTGCGGGACGCATGCGGACGGCAGCCATGGGGCCTTCGGTGGAGCTCCCTATGGGGCCACGAAACGTGTGAGGGGTGTGCCGAAATGGGTGTGCGGGACGCATGCGGACGGCAGCACGGAGGAGAGGAGGAGGAGAAGGTGGGACGCGGGGCGCTGTCTCTTCAAAACGAGGACCCAACACCACAGGATGGTTGGGAAAAACAAGCAATAAAGAGACAGGCGAACGTGTGTACGTATGTGTGCAATTACGCGCGCGCGTGTGTGCGCGCGCTCGGCTCGGATGTGTTGTTTGTAGCTCGCGGCTCCCGCGTGCTGGTGGCGCGGACTTGCTGCCCACCGATGGCGGAGAACCTCCGCAGGCGCCGCCCCCGCACGCCGCCCCCGCGCGCCGCCCGTGGCAGGCCCCAAGAGACACCTCCGCGGGGCAGCACCCTCCTCCTGCCGCCATCGTATGCGGCCGCGGCGTCCACGCCCCGTGCGCTCTCTGCGCGTGCGCCCCGACCAGCGACAGGAATCAACTCATCCTCCTCCTCCTCCTCCCCCTCCTCCCCCTCCTCCTCCTCCCCCTCCTCCTCCTCCTCCTCCTCCTTTTCCTCCTCCTCCTCCTCTTTCTTCTCCTGTTCCTGCTCCTCCTCCTCTCCCCCCTCCCTCCTCCTCACACAGAGAGATACTAATACTATATGTCCTCCTTGGAGGCATGCGTCCGACCCGAACATATAGTATACCCATCCTGTAGTATATCGTTTCCCGAGCGGTGTGGTCAGAAAGCACCCGCCACGACGCATATACTGTAAGATTTCTCGGTGCGCGCGTCGCCCCTGGGGAGACGTTGCACGTATAAAATAAACATGTTGGGGTGCCGCCGATGGTGGAGCCGGACCCGCGTGTCGCGGGCGGCCAAGAGGGGGGCGTCCAAAGGGGGTGTTGCAACTCATGGCCGGCGGCATGTGCTCGGCCCAAGTGGGGGGCCAGGGACGCAATGAGATAAGAAGAGGCGCCATGAAATCTGGGAAAATATCATGGCCCACGCCATGATGCCCACCCCCCCTAGTCATCACCCCCCTCTTTGCCGCCCCCGACACGCTAAGCACAAGTTTCTGACCGGAACGTGTGCGCGCCCATCGTCTTGCCGAGACAGGTGGCCGCTCATCGCCTGGGAGTGGGTTGTCCGCGGCCTGCGGGCTCGATGCGCGCGCTTCCGTCGCAGAGCGCGCGTTCGCAAGGAATGCGCTGAGAGGGAGGGAGATACAGAGAGGGAGAGAGAGGGAGAGAGTGAGGGAAATATTGAAAGAGGGAAAGAGAGGGAGGAAGGAAGAGAAACCGAGAGGGAGAGAGAGGGAGAGAGAGAGGGAAATATTGAAAGAGGGAAAGAGAGGGAGGAAGGAAGAGAAACCGAGAGGGAGAGAGAGGGAGAGAGAGAGAGAGATAGGGACCAGCATTAGAGATAGAGCAGGAGACCGAGAGAGAGAGAAAGAGGCAGCGAGAAAGACAAATAGAGAGACCCAGGACGAGTGGTCCCCACACGAACCCCGACCTCCTCTTCACCCAATGGCAACGGGGGTAATCCTGCTGCTTCATTGACCGCATCTTGGGCCACAAGTCCGCCGCGATGATGGACGGGTGAACCTCCGAGATGTCCTCGCGGCCAGGGAGGACCAAGGGGAACAGCTAGCAGGACTATCGCAGTGGGTCGCACATGCCAGCGAGCTTGGACGCACGCACGACGCGCGCGCTCCTCCACGTGGTCGCTCTTCGCAACAGCACGCGCCCGCGCCCCGGCTCGCGACAATCAAAGACATCAAGGGCCAAGACCACGCCCAATGTTCAATCTGTTTCGTTTTGCGTTGGAAGCCGTGGGCATGGGACCAGGCCTCAAAGGGGGTCCGAAGAACGCATCGCACAGCCAATGCACCAGCGATGCGTCGGCGACCTCGGGGTGGAGGAAAAATCGTTTCCTCGCACCTTTTGGGCGGCCTCGATTCCTCTCGCTGCGCACGAGAGAGAGAGAGAAGGGGGGGCACACACATCTATATGTGTATATATATATATGCATGGATGTACGTACGTACGTATGTATATGCTTATATAGATAGATAGGTCTGCATATCTGTAGGATAGTATGCACAACTGACGCAGCCAGATCGCCGACCGAAACTCACCAGGGGGCTAGAGCCGTCACCGCACTGTTTTTGACCCCTGCAGGCCCCAAATCGCCAGAGAGGTCCTCTCGGAGATCGACCTCAAAGTCCCAAAACCGTTCGGTCGCCCCGAATCGCGACTGACTCGCCACACGGTGTGGTCACCACACCGTTTGCCCTGACCCCCGCCCCCGACGTTGGCCTGACTGGTCCACGGAGGCCGGCAGTAAGGCGCCGGCGCCCAGAGGTGGCAAGACATACCACCAAGATCGCGCACGTGCTTCTGCTGTCCCGAATGACGGGCAGATCATCCTGCTGCCCTTGATTTGTCAGCCTCCTCCTCCCCCTCCTTTCAATCCTTCGTCGGTCTCATTACCTCCTACTCCGCGTCCCCTCTGACAATCATCCTCCCCCTGCTCCTCCTCCTCCTCCTCCTCCTCCTCCTCCTCCTCCACACTCCTGCTTCCAATGTTCCTCCTCCTCCTCCTCCTCCTCCTCCTCCTCCTCCTCCTCCTCCTCCTCCTCCTCCTCCTCTACTCTCTCCGTCTGCTCCCCCTCTCCTCTCCCCTCTCTCACCGCCTCTCCCTCACCTTTCCCTTGTCCTCTCCCTATCCAGCCGCTGCTCCTCGTCCTCCACCTCCTCCCCCTGCTCCTCCACGAACCCCTCCCGCCTTCCCTCCCCGCTCCGCGTCCTCCAGCCACGGGGGCGGGGCGGAGGGCGGAAAACTCCAGGGGGGAGCGGGGCAACAGCAGCAGCAGCGCGAGCGGCAGCCGAGGCGAGCCCCGAACCACGAGCGGCAGCAGCGAGACGCGGCAGCTGGACCGGCAGCAGCGGGGGCGACACTGGCGAGCGGCGGCGGCGAGCGGAAACGGCGGCGAGGGGCGGCAGGGGCGGCGAGGGGCGGCAGGGGGCAGGAAGCGAGCAGAAGCGGGGCAAGAGCGCACCTTGGGCCGCGGCTTCACCCCGCACGCGCGAAGCGAGGGGCGCGAGGGAGGAGGATGGCGCGCGCGCGCGAGAGAGAGAGAGAGAGCGTGCGCGGGGGGGGGGTGCGGAGGGAATGGGGGAGGGCAGGGGCAGGGAGACGAGACGAGGGAACAGGGAGCACAGGAGGAGGGGGAGAAGGGAGGCGCGCAAGGGGCCAAAGGACGAAGAGGAGCGAGGACGTTGACAAGAGCGAGGAGGAGGAGGAGGAGGAGGAGGAGGAGGAGGCAATGGAGGAGGAGGAGGAGGAGGAGGAGGAGGAGGAGGCAATGGAGGAGGAGGAAAGGGAGAAGGAGGAGGAGGAGGCGGAGGAGGCGGAGGAGAAGGAGGAGGAAAGGGAGAAGGAGGAGGAGGCGGAGGAGGAAAGGGAGGAGGAGGAGGAGGAGGAGGAGGAGGAGAAGGAGAAGGAGGAGGAGGCCGATGAAGAGGAGTATGGAAAATGGAGGGGAGATGGAGGCCACCCCCTCTCTCGGAGAGGTGCGACTCCTTCTCCCTCGGCAAGGGGGGGTGTCCCTCCTCCCTCGGGGCTGAGCCCAAACTCGAGGGTAGGCTCCCTGCTCCCAGCGGTGCTGGACTGCCATTATCAACGACGTCGCAGGAGGAGTGGGGAGGATGGCAGATTGACGAGGACAGAGGATTGGGGGAGCAGGGAGGGGGAGGCCAGAAGAGGGGAATCCCCACGAACCAGGCACAGTACGTGCAGCGCCGGGGGTGGCTGACCTTCTGCCCATGATGCGAAGTTTTTGAAGGCAAGACGGGGCGGGCACAGGCTGGCACCACAGCCGACCCACAACCAACAGAGGCATCAAAGCCTCTGTCTAGGCTGATGTACTCACGGATCCAACACTTCACCTGGTACTCAAATCATTCCATGCGTAGCATGCACTCCCCGATGGGACCGTGAACAGGACTCAGTCCCCTGCCGGCCGTCCAGTACCTATCACAGACTTAACTTTTAACTGATTGAATCCAAAAGGGAGGGGGACAGCTCCGTTGCTCTTGCCTCATTGCTCCTGGTTCGCTTTTTCCCCATTCCTCTTCCGATTTTTTCCCTCCGTTGCCTCGCCTTCCCCTCCTCTCCCGCTTCCCATCTCCGCTGCCTCTTCTGCCCAAGGGAGCAAGTCTCTGACTTCCCTCGCTCACAGGACCCCTCGAGCGACGCCGCAGGAGACTCGCCTGCAGAATGGCGGACCGAGGACGTGAGCAGCGTCGGCCGAGGGGCGGCTTCGCCTCCAAGGGCTGCCGCGACGGTTTCTACCGCGACCAACCTCCCCGTCAGAGGGCAAGGGGGGCCGTGGCCATCATAGGCTTGGGCCCCAGTCCATCGAACGGGGCCATCACAGGCCCGCTGCGAGGACGGGCCGCGACCATCATGGCTCCAGGTCCAGGCCCAAGGCAAGGGACCATCATAGGCCCCTGCCGCGGACCACGGGCGGCCACCGTGAAGACCCCACCCAGCTCCTCGCTCCGGGCCGCCCGCTCCGCCCTGCCTGTGGCATCCGCGGCCGCCTCGCAGGGGGCTGCCCTGCACGAAGCCCCGGGGCTCCCGGGGAGGCCGCCGCCTGCCTCGCCGGCTGGGGTGGCCCCCAGGCTGGCACGGGGACTGACGCCGAAGGCATCGCCGGCGGTGGGGTCGCCCCAGCAGCTCAGGGCTGCCGCTGGCCCATCCCACCAGGCAGCATGGTCCTCACCTTTGGAGCCCCCCAAACCAGGTGGTGAGATATCTATCAGGTGGTGACCTGGAACCCCCCAAAAAAGTCACCGTCGTGTCTTGGAACACGGGGTCGCCGCCTGGTTCTGCGACTCCATGGGCCCACCAGCGTTCGGGGCATCCTCAAGAAACCAACAAGAATCCCCAGACCGGGTGGTGACACCGAGTCGCCCGAGGCGCACCGCCGGGAATTGTCACCACCACGTGTGGGGCCTACCAAACCACCACGGTGCCTAGAATCGGGGGCGTCAAAGAGGGGGGCGTCCAAGAGGGGGGGGGCGCAAATCATGGCCGGCGGCATGTGCGCGGCCCCTGGGGGGGCCGAGGCAAGTAATGAAACAAGAAGAGGCGCCATGAGATCTGGGGAAAAATCATGGCCCGCGCCATGAAATCCACACCCCCCTAGTCCTCACCCCCCTCTTTGCCGCTCCCGAAAACCACCACGGTGCCCAGAACTTCGATCGCGCATCGCACCGGGACCAGTGCCTCCGTGGCCCTCGCGACCTCCCAGCCACCTGGGGCAACGAGCAAGCCCGGGCTCACCCGCCCGACCATGTGCGGGGCGCCAGGAAGGTATAGGCCGCCAGGGCTGCCATCCAAAGGCTGTCTGGCACTGAGGTCCGCGAGCTGCTCTTCTCAGGGGGCTCCGTTGCATCTGAGCTTCTGGAATCGGATTACGCCCTGCTCCCCAATTACACGCCTGACATCCCCTTCGGCACGGAGGACCTCATTATGGAGCGCAAGGAGTGCAACGCCGATGATGCGCAAGTGCATCTCCCTATGCACTGCCAAGAACCGAAAGGAGATCTCCCAGAACGTCTACGAGCATTGCCCCTACACCATGCGGGCCCAAGCCAGGCGCAACCTGCAGAAGATCGTGCCACTCGTGCCCCTTGGCTCGGATTCCCTTTTCTTTCTCGGTCTGCCTAGCTTGGATCTCGGCCCAGACCCCATGCAAACGAGCCGAGCATTAGGTCGTGCATGTCCTCCTACAGGCGAATTTTGGACGAATCATGAAAAACAGTCCCAACATACCCCCTAAAATTAATCAGGCATAGTCCAACAAATTACGGCTACATCTTACTATTTGTGCATACTCCTCCTGTATAGGGACAGGCCCGACACTCCACGTCATCAGAAGAGCGCCTGTCCGACATGACCCACACGGTGGCCACCCTTCCCGCGGGCCACGGCCAGGCGCATGCCGCGGCTACGGAGGCGACCTCCGAGAGCCTGCGTCGGCCCACGCGCCTCAGGCGCTCTCGGGAGGGGGCCGGGCACCCCAGGAGACGACCGTCCAGTGCACGCGCGACGACACCAAGGCGCGCAAGCGTGACCGCAGGCGCCAGACCAGGGCCACGAAGACCACCGACTGGGCCACGGACGAGGCCTTGCCGACGGAGGAGTCCCCAAGGGTCGGATCGGCAACGCCGCGAAGCCTACCGCACGGCGTTCGACGCCGTCGTGTGGCCGACGGGCCGGGCGAAGAAGCCGGACCCGAAGGCCCTCTGGGTCTTCAAGGATGAAGGGGCCCTGGGGCACATACATGAATAGCCACAAATGACAGGATTCCCAATATTTTCACATATTTTCCGGGTTTTTGTCTTCCCACCCACTTCCCATATTTTCCCATATTTTCTGGGGAATCGACGACTCATTGTGTCTATGTTTTTGTCCCTCCTGAAAGGACAAGGCGTCTGAGCTTGGCGTTCGCTGCGACGCGAAGCGGATTTTTGTTTCCAGGCTCGCGTGCGTCGACACTCTCAGGAACTACTCTTCCCGGGAAGCTACAGGCCAAAACTGTGCATGCTCTTTCTCTCAGCTTTCTCCGGGGGAGACCTTGCGAAGGCGTCCTCGACGCTAGTCTTCACGCCCATCGGTCGCGCCCGGGACGATGCAGAGCTCTTGGCATTGGAGGGGCACGTCATAGACATGACGCCCCCCCCCCACTGAATGAACCAGACGTGCAGCGCCTCCTGGACAATGAGGGGCCACGCGGGCGGCAGCCCTGCCAATACTACACCTACTGCACTCCCACACCTCCTGCACGGCTAACTCAGCACCGCAAGTTCGCTCAGGACATCCCCAGTCGCTACGAGAAGGGAACGGCGAACTGAATGGCGCTCACGTGGTCCGCTGGTGGGCAGCCGGTGCCTGCAGCACGCTCGGTTCACTCTACACCTGGCCAGTGCCGACAACGCATTTTCAAGGTCTCGCCATCTGGGCGAGGCGGAGATTCATCCATATCCGCCGCATGGGAACCGACGCCCTGGTGCCCCAGCGGGCGGTGGATATAGATATATTTCGGCCCCTGGGGGCCCGAATATGTTCATATCCACCGCCTGCCGAGGCTCCGAAAACTGACCCTCCAGGTGGTGGTCACGTATAAATTCCCGCCTCGCAATCTGGAGCAGAGCCCACCGGGTGGCGGAGGGGCCACCGCGACGCATAGGGTTCATCTTCTTGGACCGCGTGCGGCGCTTCCGGGGCTGGCCAACACCTCGCGCGTCCATTCACGCATCCCTGCCACGGCTTCCACGCAGTGGCGCCCGGCGAACGCCACGAGCACTGCTATCGGACATGGTTGTCTGTTGCCGCTCGCGCGGCTACGGGCTGCCACTGCCAGCGCTGCGCTACCTTCGCATCGGCGTGGAACCACGAGCAGACACCACACTTGGCAGGACACTTCGCAATGCGCCACGCTTCTGTGCTCGGCTTCACACGACTGTGCCATGGGAAAGCGCGTGCCATGCCTTGCCGGCGCTTCCCAGGGTCGAGTCGCCGGACGGGCAGCTTCACATCTTTGCCCGCAGGAGACCTGGCCGTAGCCGAACGACCAGTCTCGTCTCCAGACGGCCCCTGCTCGCGCTGCGGTCGTTCCTGAACGGAATGTTTCGCCTCCGAGTTTCACCCAGCTCGCAAAACGCCTGGCTGCGACCATGGGGGTGGGGTTGGGTCGGGCATGTCCTCCTACAGGCGGATTTTGGATGACGAATAACAAATAGTCGAACAATGCGCAACAATAACCCCAATAGTATAAAACATCAAGAAAATGTCCCCAGGCTATTTTTTGATTAGTTTTGAATATTCCTCCTGCAGGGGGGCAGGCCCAACTTCCCGGTGGGGGTGGGCGACGGGCCGCTCGAGCACACGGCGACGCGAGCGGCCGAGGCACCTGCAGCGGGCCGCCAGGCTCGCACCCTCCAGCCTCGAGCACGCACAAGGTCACGTACGCGGGGGTGGCCGAGATGCTCGGCAGCTGGGCGAAGGCTGGCAAATCCGTGGCTGCTACAACTGTCTTACCGGAAGACACAAAGCAGAATCCCGGACAAAAAATCAGCGCGCTAAATATAGTAAACAGGCTGCTTCCCGGAAGAAAACAAACAATTTCCCGGAGCTCCGTGTTAGCAGCCACGGGACTACCAGCCTTCGCCTGGCTTCTGAGATGCGGCGCTCCCTCAAGGGCATCGTCATAGAGGCCTCCCAGAAAGCGCGACGTGGCCGAGCGTCCACGACGGGTGCAGCTGCTGTGCCATAAACTTCTTGGTGCTGACGGGAAGAACCCACACTATCAGTATTTCACCGACCTCACTGCCGAGGCCGTTCTGCTACGTGCGGCCGACAGTCCTGGGCTCTCTCCTGGACTGCAGCCCTGGCGCATCAGCAGGCCGTCGGCTTGGAAGACGGCCTGGGCAAGTGCTCCCAACAAGACATGGGCGAAACCAGACGACCGCCGGCGGCTCGGGCGCTTAAGTGGGTCGGTGCCTGCCACCTCCCACGGCACGCCCATATCGACATCCACATGGCCGACTCCATCATCAAGCTCCTCCGCGAAAACACCGAGGTCGGGCCATCAACCCCGGTCCGAGCATGTGGCTCCGACGTCGTCAGCTGTTTCACGAACGTGCCCCACGAGCTCATCGTCTGGGCTTGATGTTTCTAGCGATCTACCCTGCAAGGGTCGATCGAGGCTATCCGTGTGGCGTGCCGCGGCAGGCGCGCAGTATAATCAGCAAGGGCACTTCCGTCCCGAGTTCACGGCCATTGTATGACCATCACTGTTGACGACATCGAGATTCTCATACGGCATCACCTCTACACCAGTTTTTTCATGTTTGGAGAGCTGGTGGGTATGGGGGTCCAGGGCCTGGCCATTGGGCAGCTCTATGGGCTCGGCGCTTACTCGGACGGCTTGAATGTTTTGCGACGTTACCGAATAAATATTCCTTGCATGGCCCTGAACAGACCCCCGTGGGATACAGGGGCCGGTTATATGAGACCGTGATCTTGGGCCACGAGGTGCGGCTTCTCGAAATGCGGTACATGGACGACTATCTTCTTCTTTGGAAAGGCCCGTCCTACCTCGCGCTCGGGACATTGTACTGCCTTCCAGCCGCCTGGCGCGACGAGCAGCAGGGCGGTACCACCTGCCACTCGAGCGAGATGATAGCCTCAATTTCATAGGTGTTGACCTGAGGCTCAACGTGGCCGGCAGCGTGGCAGCATGCCCCTCGATCGGGCACCATGGAGGCAGGGGCGACGCTGCGGAGCTTGAAGGTTTCTCGCCATACTACAGCTTCATCCGGACGGCACGAAGCGGGGTATCATCCTAGGCATCATGACGCCTACGCTGAGAGGCCTCGCGCGCTTTCCGGGACCACCTGAATGGGGCATCGGGCTATCATGTTTCGGCATCTGACAGCCGGGCTAGTGAGGGCACGCGCCATTGTCCGCCTCGTCTGTGAGGCACGGGAGGCGGGCAGGCCCTCCACGAATGCCTGCTGCCTCTGCTGCAGGCTCGCGGTCGGCAAGGGCCCTACCCCCTCGTCCCTGCCATCTTTCCCCCCGCCCCCCCACCCGACCCCCCGCCCTCTCTCTCTTCACCCCCGCGTCCCCTTTCTCCCCCCTCCCCTTCTTGTCCCTCCCTCTCCCCTCCCCTGCTTGTCCCCTCCCTTGTCCCCTCCCTCCCCTTCTTGTCCCTCCCTTTCTCCTTGTCCCCCTCTCCCCTCCCCTCCCCCTCTCCTCTCCCCTTCTTGTCCCTGTCCCCCTCTCCCCGTTCCCCTTCGCGCCCGCCCTCCCCCTCCTGCCCCCGGCCTGCCCCGGGCTCGGGGCTCTCAATGCTCCGCTTCCGGGGGCCTCCCGAGTCCAGGCCGCTGCTGGGATGTCGGCCCCGCTCGGCGGGCGGCTTCCCGCTGCTCCCGGCTGTCCGCACTGCAGGTGGCTGTGACTGCCTGGATTCCCGCCCGGGTCTGTTCTCGTTTGTGGCGCTCCCCACTCGCAGGACCGGTGCGGGCGAAAAGGTGGGAGGGCAAACGACCTTGATCCCAGCATGCGGGGGAATTTGCGTGATCTGGGGGCCTTCGGTGGTCTTGTTGCGTTCCCTCCTGCAACTTCTGCTCGCCACCTAGACTCGGAATCAAAACTGTGTAACTATACGTTTCTTGGCTTCCCCACTCGCAGGACCAGCCGCGTAGCCGAAGGGGAGGGAGGAGAAGGGAAGGGACATTCATAGAGTTCAGCAGGATCCCCACGAAGCTAGCTCAGTACGTGCAGTGCCAGGGGCGGGGGGGCGTCTCCCCATCCTGCCATCACAGGGGATGCGGAGTCCCTGGAGACGGGGCGGGGTGGGCACAAGTTGGCATCTTAGCCAACCCACAACCCACAGAGGCATCAAGCCCTCTGACCACCAGACTAACCAAGCTGATCCACTCACGGATCCAACACTTCATCTGGTACTCAATTCATTCCATGCATCGCATGCTCTCCCTGCCTCACGGCGGGGCTGGACTACCCGTCCTTGAGGCCGTCGTAGGTGGTGGGGGCGTTGATGTAGTCGACCAGCGAATCGATCGTGTTGCGCGGGGGAAAAGCCCCGGACAGCTCCTGCGCGCAAGGCAGGCCCTTCTCTCCAGTCCTCCTCCAACGACTTACCCTTCTCCAACTCACCCTCCTCCTCCTCATCCCCCTCTTCCCCCTCCCGTTCCTCTTCCCTCCTCCTCCAAGGACTGACCACATGCCCTGTATATGCATGCCCGCGCGTCCCTCCAGCGCTCTGCGCCGGCCCCCAGGGACGGCCGTTCTTCGCAGCAGGCGGCAGCCATCCCCAGGGGAAAAGGGAGCGTCGGCCAGGGCCTATGTTCAGAGCAGACAATCCGACCTCATCAGAGGCAACCTGACAGGCGAAGCCGTTTGGCCAACGCACCCAAGAACGGAATCGAACAGGGCAGGGCTGCTCGGTAAATGCCCAGGGCCGTTGAGTTAACGCCGACGATCGGCGTCGGGGTGGTCTTTCCTCCCTTGACTATACCTGGCGCTGCCCAGGAGCTCGGCCGGGCACGCGAGGACGACGTAGCCGGCCTCCCTGCGGCCCGCCGCCGCCGCCCGTCCCAGCGGCGCTCGAGAGCAGCGCCCGCGGCCGCCGCCGCTGCGCGCCCTCCTCCTCCTCCTTCTCCTCCTTCTCCTCCTCCTCCTCCTCCTCCCACTCCCTCCCCTCCTCCCTCCTCCTCCTCCTCCTCCTCCTCCTCCTCCTCCTCCTCCTCCTCCTCCTCCCTCCTCCTCCTCCTCCTCCTCCTCCTTCTCCTCCTCCTCCTCTTCCTCCTCCTCGCCCTCCCCCTCTCCTCCCTCCTCCCTCCTCCCTCCTCCCTCCTCCTCCTCCTCCTCCTCCTCCTCCTCCTCCTCCTCCTCCTCCACCTCCCTCCTCTCCCTCTCCTCCTCATCCTCCTCCTCCCCCTCCTTCCTCCTCCTCCGCCCCTCCTCCCTCGTATGCTCCTCCTCCTCATCCTCCTCTTCCTCTTCGTCTTAGTATTATGTGTACTATTATTATGAGCGTTCGCATTATTATTCTTAGCATTCGTAGTATTATTCGTAGTGCTATTATTATTGTTCTTCTTATTGTATCAGCATTCTTCTCCTAAGTAGTATCAGTATTCTTATTATGATTAGTATAAGTTGTATTATTATTCGTAGTAGTATTGTCATACTTATGATTGTTATTCGTATGATTCGTCTTCTTAGGCTCCTTAGTATTATTATTAGTATTATTATTATTCGTATTATTATTGTTGTTATTATTAGTATGAATATTCTTAGTATTATTATTTATTTATTATTATTAGTATTATTATTATTATTCTTATTATTATTAGTATTATTATCATTATCATTATTATTATTATTATTATTCGTCTTCTTCTTGTTCCTCCTCCTCCTCCTCCTCCTCCTCCTCCTCCCTCCTCCTCCTCCTCCTCCTCCTCCTCCTCCTCCTCCTCCTCCTCCTCCTCCTCCTCCGCCTCCCCATCCTCCTCATCCTCCTCATCCTCCTGCTCCCCCTCCTCCCTCCTCCTTCTCCCCCTCCTCCCTCGTATGCTCCTCCTCCTCCTCCTCCTCATCCTCCTCCTCCTCTTCCTCCTCCTGTCACTTTTCGTCCTCCTCCTCCTCCTCCTCCTCCTCCTCCTCCCACTCCTCCTCCTCCTCCTCTCCTCTCCTCCTCCTCCCTCGTCCCTCCCCTCCTCCTCCTCCTCCTCCTCCTCCTCCTCCCTCGTCTGCTCCTCCAGCCCCTCTCACCACTCGTCCCGATCGTCCCTGTCCTCCTCCTCCTCCTCCTCCTCCTCCTCCTCCAACTCCTCCTCCTCCTCGTTCTCATTCTTCATCTCCTCCGCCCTCTGGTCCTCAGTCCTCATCCTCGTGAAGGAGAGGAGGCGGGCATAAGAAGGATTGCATGAACAACCGTTTAGGATAAAAAGTCTGAGCTTTGCCGTCGGCGGTGCTGCCTCGGGTTTGTGTCCCTCCCCATTCCTGCCCCCCTTCCACACACACACACACCACACACACACGCACCGAAATGCCCCCGGTTTTCCCGCTTCAGGGGTCATGGTATGCATCCTTCCCCTTTGGGAAATTAAATTTGCCCACATCCTCTGCTGCCGCTGACTCACGACATCAACCATTGCATCTCTGGTGCTGCATGTTCTGAAATACTATAATTTCACTCCTCCACCTCCTTCCGACACGTTTCTGGTTCCTTTCACTCCTCCTCATCCTCCCTTCCTTCCTAAGCGTCACTCCTCATCCTCTGTATCAAAACATCTCCTCCCTTTCTCCTCCCTCTCATCCGCTCCCTCATCCCCCTGCCATCTCCCTACTCCGCTGCTCATGCCTTCCACGCCCTCCTGCCGAAACAACATGGAAGTATCCTCTGTAACCTCCACCGGCAATCCGAACACAAACCAAACACAAGACGGCGGCCTGGACATTCTAAAAACAATACTGGTCGCAGCTGCGCGTTGTAGCATGCATCCTCGTACACCCAATCGAATGTACATTATAACTTATAACAACGGTGATTCAGGTCGATCACCCCTTGGCTGATTTAGAATCGCTAGCCGATGCTCTGACCTCACAAGCTCTGCCATTCCTGGTGGCAAACGGCTCCTCGATGCCCAAGCCGACGCTCTGGTTGGTGCGGGTGCCACCGCCGACCTGACCCTTCCGTGCGAGCCCGTTGCTGCTGCTAGAGTATCCGCCAGCACTGTCGGCGTGTACGAGGAGGTCATAGGGTGGTCGTCCCAGTGTGGTCCCAGGAGATGCTTGTCCATTCGAAGCTTGGCCCCCTCTCTCTGCAGCCACCCGCAACTCTCGACGCTCGTCGACACGAGATGGATCGACCCAGGCCGCAGCGGAGGCGAAGGAAAGCCCATTACGGGATGGGACTCTTGGCTTACCTTCGCTTCGATGGCGGCCCCTCGAACGAAACCAGAGCGAAACCTATGTGATTCCGTCCTCACCAGGGACGGGGGAGCGTTGAGAAGGGGGGGTGGGATCTCGTCGGAGTCCCGTTCGGGTGGTCCCGGGGGTGTGGCGTCGGGAGGGCGGTGAGGTCCCGTTGGGCGGGTGGTCCTGGACCACTGCAGGTGGCCCCGAGAGGTGGTCCCGAAGGGGGGGTCCCGAGGGGTGGTGCCGGAGGAAGGGCCAGAGCCTCCAGCACCCCCAACCCCACTGAGGGGCAACTTCCCCAAATATCCAACGTATTGAAAAAAAAACAAGCTGGCGTTTTTCTGTTTATATATATATATATATACAAAAACAACTATAAATCTGCCTCTAGAGGCCCTCGCCGGGCCGCGGGACCGTCAAAAAGCGACCCAGGATGAAAAACCGGTCCTGGGGACTGGGCCGAGACTTCCAGGGACCGCGCATTAAAAAAATAACGACATCGGATCTCTGGGTCAGCGGGAAACCAGCCTGGGAGGAGTGGGGGACGTCGAGCTGGCATCGTCGATATGCGTCGCTGAAGGATTGGCGTTGGGCCCCCGAGGGCGAATCTGCACACGCTCCTGGGCAGGGCTGGAGCTGTCGGCCCCCTGCCGGCGATCCGTGGCGATTGGGGGACGAGTCGCCTCCCCCCCGAGCCGGTCCCCCGGGACGTTGCCCCTGACCACTGGGCGGCTCGGGCGATTTTGCCGTAGTGCTCTTTGTTACGGTGAGGGCATTGTTTTAACTCTTCGAGTAGGCGAACCCACGTGGTCACGCATGCATTCACGACGACGACGACACGACGGCGACGGCCCGCCCCACGAGCTCGGCACCGCGGCACCCCTGGATAAGGAATCCAGGATCTGGAAGCCGGGTTACCTCCAATCGTGGAAATGGCCATGCATGTCACCGCCGCCCACAGCCGATAAGGAACGGCTCAGGGTCTGAAGGCTCTCGGCCTGGTTGCCGAAGGTCTCACGCGTGGGGCGGCGGGAAAAGGGAGGGGAGGCGGGAAAGGGAGGAGGGAGGCGAGTAAGAGAGAGGAGGGATGAGGGATGCGGGGGCACGCCCGAAGGACGAATCCGAGCACGCGTGTCATATCGGACTTCGCTCTGGGACCAGTACATGCGCCCCTTGCAGGCGGGAGGTGTAAGGATGCCTCAAGCGCGAGCGCCATACCTGAGTACATGTTGACGCTATCAATCTCCAGGAAGAAGAGGAACAAGAGAAGACCCAGTAGGATGAACAGAGGGCGAGGATAACCCAATGGAAACGACATCAGGAGCATGGGGAAGGGACGCAAGAAGAAAAGGAAGACGAAGGAATATGAGGAGGAAGAAGAACGGGAATGGAGGTGGAGTGGAGGGGGGGGAGGGCGAGAAAAAGGATGACGTTGAGGAGGAGGAGGAGGACGACAACCACGACGAGTGCGACGACGCCGACGACGACAACGATGACGACGAGGGCGCAGGCCGATCAGGATGAGGAAGAGGGGGGAGACATTGATTCGGCGGACGCGCGGGCAGTAGTTGCAGAAACCATGCCTCCCAAACCGCTGTAGAGACCGCTGTACTCTGTCTCTGTCCGAGGGCCGCGGGCCGCGGCGGTCGCAACTTTACGGCCCCTGCGGCCGAAGGTGTCGCGCGCGCGGCGGCAGGGCAGCGGCGAGAGCAGCGCAGAAGCGTGGCCTTTTCTCGGAGCTCCGCGCGGACCCTTTGGACCGGCACTCCCCGCAGTGTCGGGGACGCGCAAGCATGGATTCGCGATCCATGGATTTGGCGCGCGGTCGCCAAATCCATGGATCGGGGGAGGTGCCGTCTCCAAAAGATGCGGCCGGTGCCGCCACGCTCGGCGGCGGACATCCGCGAGCTCCCACGGAGACGGGACCCGTCGCTGATCCGCGCCCCCCTGATCCATGTTTGCGATCGCCTGACAGTGATGGGGAAACGTCAGGGGTGGACGAGCTGGGGGGGGGGGGGGAAGCATCGGGCTGGAGTCGTCGATGCATCGCCGATAGGTCCGCGAGAGGCCCCCGATGGCGAGCCCGCACGATCCTGGGCCCCCCTCGGCGATCAATAGGCGCCGGGGGTCGATGCGTCCTCCCTGAACCGGTCTCCCCCAAGCGTTGCCCCGGAGGAGCCCCGCGCGGATCTGTTGGATCGGTCCTCCCGAGAGGCGGGATGGCCTCGATGAGCAAATTACCCCAACGCCCAACGTCGACCCCAAATACGAGAGCAACCACATCAACAAAGCCGGCAGAGGTCTCCGTTGGAGTAGCGTTAGCAACGGTACCAACAGAGCAACTACATTGTCGGCGAAGACGACATCAACAAACCAGCGAATTAACCATCGCTGGAACTGCCTGGGCAACAGTGACGACAGCAACCACAGCAATGCTGACACCACCAAAAGCAAGACAACAAACGCATGAATATATCCAGGGAGCAAAAGCAACCGTAGTATCACCACATACACAACGATACCATCAACAACGCACACAATATCGCAACACACCAACCACATGCAGAACAAGGGCAACCTCGACAACAACCACATCCACAGAAGCTAGAAATGGTAGGCAAGGACCCCTGATGCTAAATCAGATTTGGGAAGCCTCTCGCAAGCTTTTGAAAACCAGGGCGCCTGGCCCACGACTGGCCCGCAGAGCCTGCAGAGGACTCTAGCCCGTCGGCAGGGGCGACGCCCACGTGAGAACCGCCACCCTGTGAGGGCCAGGGCTCGCCCACCCCACGCGTGGCTCGCCTATCCCGCAGACGCCTCCGCCCCACTGGGAGGGGCGCCATCCTCGCGACAGGGCCGCCACTCCTCGAACCTGGGGCGCACTGGCCCAAGGCTGACCGTCGTTGAAGGCCTAACGACTTCTGTCGTGCTTCGACTCGCGCTGGAGCGGCTGCGAGTGGCTCCAACTTTCACTGGAGGTCTCTGGATTTACCTGGATCTGCCCAGACCTACCTCGACTTACCCGGATTTGCCTCGACTTATCTGCCATCTGCCTGAACTTCTCAGGCCCGATCCCCCCAAGTCGATTGGCGAACAGTCGACAAGCCCTTTGGGAGACTGGCCCACCTCGGGAGCGGCCAAGAGGGGGGTGTCCAAGAGGGGGGGGTGCAAATCATGACCAGCGGCATGTGCGCGGCCCAGCGGGGGGCCAGGGACGTAATGAAAGAAGAAGAGGCGCCATGAAATCTGGGGAAATATCATGGCCCCCGCCATGGCATCCACCCCCCCTAGTCATCACCCCCCTCTTTTCCGCCCCCGACCTTTGGGAGACTGGCCCACCGAGCCGGCCGAGGCCCCCGGCGCACCGGGACGGGCGCCATCCAGGTCGCCGCCATCTCCCGAATGCTGTGGCGCCTGGACCGCCGGGGCGGGCGCTCGGCCCACGCCTCGCCCACGGAGCCAGCATTCAGAGGCTTCCGGCCCCGCGCCGGGGCGGGCGCCGTCCTCGTGAGGGCCGACGCTGGCCTGAAGCCAGGGCTGCCGACCAGCCCAGACTGAGCCGGCAGAGGCCTGCGGCCCAGCGGGAGAGGCGCCGTGCTCGTGAGGGTCTTTGGTTTTCACAAAGGCCGGGGCGCCCGGCTCCCCGCTGGCCCACAAAGCCTGCCGAGGACTCCAGCCCCTCGGGAGGGGCGCCATCTTCGCAAGCGCGACCGCTTTTCCAAGGCCAGGGCACACGGCCCAAGGCTGGCCCACAGAGCCAGCAGAGGCCTCCAGGCAACACGCAATCCTTACGACCAGGTAAGAGACCCCTTACGGTTAAGCCAGATCTGGCAAATCACATCGAAATCAATGGCACTACAGTAAACGCAGTACAGCAATAGATCAGCCCTGAGGATGACCACGTTGCAAGCGAGGACAATTACGACAACAGCAACGAAGCAACATCCACACCAACATAAACAACAACACCAACAAGGAGCACGAGCGCATATAGCTACAACATCAACAATACCAGCACTGTGAAAACAGTATCAGCCCTACAAACGACATGTTTACCAGTAGCTCCAAAGCAGCAACTATACAATACAATGTACACTCGCATAATCAAACCAACAATATAATACGAATATCAACAACAAGACCAGCAACCGCAACAGCTATCAGAACAGCAGTGTGAGCGCGGCGGAACAGAAAGTTACCAATTCTAGGCAGTAGCAACACGAAACATAACGATCGGAGAGCCACATGGACAGCAACCACAGCATGACCAACTAGCACACTGGCAAAGCCAGAAGAGGCCTCCGATCGAGCAGTCGTAACTGCCAGGTGAAGGCCCTTGTGCTACAGCATCTGCTAAAACAGATGTTGATAAAGTGCACACGCATACAGACTGTGGGAGGTCCGCGCGGATTTCTTGGTCCGAGGAAGAGGATCATCGAGGATCGACCAGGAGGAGGAGGAGAAGGAGGAGGAGGCGGAGGAGAAGGAGGAGGAGGGGGAGGAGGATCGAGGATCGAACGCGGCCTTGGGGCACGGCTGGATCTACATGGCGGCGCCGCTCAGCGCGCCAGGGAGGGGCGTCCGAGTCCAATCCAAAAAGTCAGCGCGGACCTCCTCAAGTTTTCCCCAATCAGTGCTTACACTGAAGGGGTCCTAGCGTAGAGGAAAAAGAACTGTGCACATACACCGATTCTGGCCAGGCCCATCCTGAGCCCAGGATCGATGCATATGCCCTCCTGCTTTGGCCGGGAAGGCATATGCACCGATTGTGCGCCCAAGATGGGACTGGCCAGAATCGATGCATGTGCATAGTTCTCTTCACCCAACATGAATGCTTGCACTGAAGGGGTCCTAGCGAAAGCTGAAAGATTTGGCGAAAATCTCCCGCCGATTTTGGTAGCAGGCTGGGTTCCCGGGTTCCTAGTTCCGGTTTCCTGGGTTCCCGATTATTGGTTCCGGGCCGATTTCAGTGGAATCTGGGTTCCCGGGCTCCCCGGTTCCCGGTCGATTTCCTCAGCGATAACCATCGACTCATTGGGATTTTCTCTGGTGTAATTTATGTTAGTGCGTGTTTGTTGTCTTCTTTGAACACATGTGGGGGAAGACCGGATCGGACCGGAGCACGGCGAAAGGAGGAGAAGGAGGAGGAGCGACGTGCTGGAGTCGAATTCGAGGCGGCCTAGAAGCTTGAGCTTGAAAAACCTACAGAAATTCTGCAAGAGAAGAGGGGGGGCGACGGCCGATCCGTCCAAAACCGGTTCCTGGACCCCTCCCTGGATCCATCCGGGCCAGGTTCCCACCCTGGGTTGATTCCCCACGGTCCATCCCGTCGCCCATGGCATCGGAACGGCGCTCATGACCCAGATGCCTTGGAGGAGGAGGAGGAGGAGGAGGAGGAGGAGGAGGAGGAGGAGCACGCACGCTGCGCGTAGGGTGCGCAGAGGCCCTCAGGGCTGCTCGGCGACCCACAGTGCCAGCAAGGCCGCCAAGACTGCACCTGCTCCGCGGGCGCGACGAGGCCACGCGCCGGCTTTGACGACCGTCGTCTTGGTGGTGGTGGTGGTCGTTGACGTCGTCGTGGTGGTCGTGTCCTCTGGGGCGCACAGGGGCGCACGACATCCCTCCTCGAAATCAAACGCAAGTGTTTCCCTCGGCGTGGCGGCACCCCAGGTCCCCAGACTTTCGATATCCGCGCCGAAACAGGCGACTGCAAACACAAGAATCTGACCCCGCGGGCCGCGCTTCGCGCGTCGCTCAACGTGAAAAACTTGCGTTTGATTTCGAGGAGGGTTGTAGTACTATATGTCCTCCTTGGAGGCGCGCGTCCGATCCGAACATCTGTACTATACCCAGATTGTAGTACACATCGCTTCCCGAGCGGTGTGGCCAGAAAGCGCCCGCCACGGCGCATATACTATAAGATGTCTCGGTGCGCGCGTCGCCCCTAAGGGGGCGACGCACACTTAGTCTTAGTATGTTGGGATGGCACCGATCCTTGCACGTCAGGACCGCAGCTCTCATGGATACGTGGAGAAACCAATCCTGGACCATGAAACGAACGTGCTTCCCGTACTTGGGCTCGGAGAACTTGTTCACGACCTTGGTGCTTTGATCCCCGTTGCCGCTCATCAACCCAACGTCGTCCCAATTCCCACCGTCCTCAGAGGAACAAACAACGGTATACAGATACACTCTCGGATGTCCGCGCGGATGTCTCAGATCGGTGGGACCCCCTCCCTGGCGCGCGGAGCGCGTCAGGGGCGGCGCCAGAAGTGCCGCCAGGGGTTCCACCGCCAATCCAAGAATCCGCGCGGAGCTTCGAAAGCTCATGTTCATGCAGGTTGTTTGTTCGACTTCGAGTCCTTAGAGACCATCACCCTGAATCTCGTCACCCACTGATTATAATTGTTGCGACCCTGTGTGACAACGCCGCCGATGCGCTTCACCCCGTCCAAGTCGATCTGCATCCACTCGTTCGCCTGGTTGTTCTTGGCAGACCAGGCCTTCGGGGGCGACCATGGGGGTGGCTCCAACGAGGGGGGCTCGCGGACCATGGCCGCAGAAAGGTGCGCGGCCCAAATGGGGATGGGGGACAAGAGACGTATCCAGATGCCTCCCCGACGGAGTCTGAGTAGATGGGTCGGAGGATCGCGCCGCATCGCCAATCAATCGCCGATGAATCGGCGATACATCAAGCACGTCGGCGATGCATCGGCGACGTTGGCGTGATGAAAATCGGGCACAACGTTCAGCCGCATCGCCGATGCACCGGCGATGCGACGCGACCCTCCGACCCCATCTGCTCCGACCTCATCTGGAAGGCCCAGTAGAAGATTGAACATTGAAGAAAGAACGGTGAGCCATTGAATCCGGGGGGGATCTCATGGCCCCGACCATGATGCCTACCCCCCAAGTCATCATCAACCCCTTCTTGACCACCCCGAAACCTGCTCAGAGCCCAGCATCGACCGGGCGTGCCCGTTCCCGACCGCGTCGTCGTCCCAAATGGTGCTGTACTTCCGGCTGAACTCCCCCGGATTGACTTCCTCCTCCCCTTCGCATCCCTCGCCGCTCCACTCCTCTTCCTCCAAGAGCGCGCCTCCCCAGGGGAGGAGATACCGCTACCGCTACCCTTCCCTCCTCGTCACCACGGCCGGATTCGCCTCGAAATCCTGGCCAGAACGCACCCCAGCAGGAGAGGTCCATGGAGTACGCCATTGGCTAAGGAATCATCCAAGGTCTGGAAGCTGGTGGGCCTCTCCAATCGTGGCGTGGCCATGAGTATCACCGCCGCCCGCATCAGAGAAGGAATCCTCCAGGGTCCCCCAACCCCCGACGTCATGGTCATGATTTCTTCATAATGTTGACCCCGTAGGGGTCTCGACCCATTCCCCGGGACTGGTTTTTCGTCCTGAGCCGTTGTTTGACGCACCCCAGGCCCGGTAAGGGCCCCGGGAGACGGAAAACATAGAAAAACCTTCCGTCGTGATGTTTTCACAACGCGAGGGGGTCTGGGTCTGAAGCTTCCTGGGAACCTGGCGGAACGAACCTCCCCAACGCTGCGACAGCGTTAGGTCGGGCATGTCCTTCTAAATACAAGCGGACTCTGGACGAAAAAGCAAGAATTCGCAACACATGAGCCAAAATGGTAAGCCCAAAAAATCGTCACCAGACTATTTGTTGACTATTTGGGAATATACCTCGTGTAGAGGAACGGGCCCGACTCAACGGTAGCGTTATGTTGCTCCCATCGTACTTAAGGACCACATCCCCGAAATGGTTTCGAGTACCGAGAATAATGTCGACACAGTGTCGAAACAGCGTCCGTCGAACGAGTCTCCCAGGGCCCAACGCGTGAAAACCCTTGAGATTCGGTCATTTGTTGGGGTGTTCGAAATTCGTTCTGGTGGTCAAGGCTAATGTACACGTCGTTCATATCCAATCGTGCTCATTTCTAATCGTGCTCGTTTCTAATTGATCCTGGCCCCCTAGCGGCCAGGAGGAGGCCCAGGATCGAGCAGTTAGAGATGAAAGGATCCGGGCCCCCCGACACAACTCAAAGACCCCTCGAAGAATCAGACATGAACGATGCGCAGGTTTCGGCGGTGGACAAACCTCCCTTTAGTAGACATCCCCTTAGTGAAAACGCCCTGGGACCGAAACCGACGGACCTGGACCTGCAAAAATGACGGCCGCGACGCCCTCTCGCGCACCGAAAGCGGCCAATTCCTGAATCGACGTGTCAGGGTAGGAGGTCTGTCCACGGTTGAAACCTCCTAGCGGTAGCGGTGTCCTCTCCTCCCCCTCTGGCCTCCGGGCGCCTCCTCCGCGAGGGCGCCGCGGGCGGCCGCCTGCACCACGCTGCGGATCACCGCCCGGCGGGGCGCCGCGGGGCCGAGGTCGACCTCGCCGCCGGGCTGCACGAGCACCGCCCGCCGGCCGGGCTCGCCGCTGGGCTGCAGGCGGGCCTCGCCCTCGGGGCGGCGCTCGCCTCGAGCGAAGGGGGGGGGGGAGAGCGAGGAGGAGGAGGCCTTCCCAGAAGGTTCGGGAGTCCCCCGGCCTGCTGAGAAGCTCGCCTTCCCCGAGCAGGAGCTTCCCAGAAGGCGCGAGGGCTTCTGAGCAGTCCCGCCGCCCTCCGAGAAGCCTTCGCCTTCTCATCTCCCCCCCTCGCTCGCCTCCGATGCACGCAAGAGTGACCCTGAGCAGGAGGAGTGCCCATTTTGGTGCGCGGCCTTGGGAGGAAGCGGGGAAGGGGGGCCAGCCCGAGCGCGTAAGCCGCTGCTGCCCCATCGCTTTCAGCGGTCGAGGGGTCCCCGTGGGCCCGCACCGCAAGTCGCTCTGGCGAGGGGTCACTCCTACGGGCAGTCGATCACCGCTGCCGGAGCTGACGGAGGCCCCAGCAGCAGACCAGGCCCGCAGGCTGCAGCCGAGGAGCCAAATCGCCGCGCTGGCCGCCATGCCGCCCCGACTTTTCTTGTAGGTCAGCACGCGAACAACGGCCGACTTGGGCGGAAGTGTTGAGCCACAACGGCCACGAACGAGTGGTTCGGGCGATCGTGGAGCACGTTTGGTAATCGTGGGCCCCTTGGGCCCGCTAAGAACCCTTTCGAGGCCAACCTCGATCAAGCTTCGGCGCTCGTGACGGTCAGTCGGGCCGTGTTGAAGGCCCTGGGGCCTGGCTTACGAGGCCATGTCGACAGCATCCCGCGTGTGTGTATATATACACACACAAGACTGCAATGGCGCTTCGCGCCACGCACCTTGGTCCTTGAAGTTTGGTATGCAGGCGGAATGGCAGGAAAACCAAGCCGACAATTTAGCGATAACTCCTGGTTGCCTTTTCCGGCATCGCCGCTATAATGATGTTATCCGTTATCCTTCCTCCATGCCTATTGTTCCTTATTCTCGCCATACCTTGCGCATTCTCCCCATCCTCCTCAGCTCTTTTTTGCGGAGGCCTCTCCTTGGAGAGCCTCTAGGTGCCTCACAGAAGTTGTTTCGGGTTTTCTTAAGGCCTTCTGGAGGCCTCCAGGGCGTATTCTGGGGGCCTCCGGGGGCTCCCTCGGGCCACCCTGCCTCCAACCGCCGTCCCCCTGAACGACCGAATCACGATTTGGAATTCTTCGGGGGGTGTCTTTGGGCCATCTTGGGTCGCCATAGGGCTCTCTGAGGGCCATCTCGGACCCGTGTTGTGCCGTTTTGGGGCTCTCTTGGACTGCCTGGAAGCCCATTCGGATGGTTGTGGGACGATTTGGGAGCCGCCCAAGCGGCTTCGGACGCCCAGAAGACCGCCCGCCGTCTTGGAGCGTCGGGAAGCCGAAAAGAGGAGAACCCCAAACTTCACCAAAAACCCACAGAAAATCCATGATGTTTGCTTCGGGGGGCCTCCTTGGGAGTGCTCTTGAAAGCCTCTTTGGGGCCGTCCTGGAGGCCTCTTGGGCCATCTTGAGATCGCGTCCGTCACACTTGGAACGCTCTTGTGCTGTCTTCGGGGTCGCTGGGACGTCTCCGATGACCCCCCTGATCGCCTTAAGTGTGCTGGGAAGGCTTGGCAAAACGCCTTACGAGGCCCGGTGGCCGCTTCGAAGCCCCGCCCGGAGGGCCCCAAAGCCCCAGGTCCCGGGAGTCCGGTTTTTGGGGGGGGATGGGTTTTCCCTCCGCCCGGGCTTATACAAATATAGAAGGAGGAATATGAATGTGTGGCCGCTCTTCCGAACATCATACGGATCATCCTGAATCATGCTTCATCTTCGTTCCTCTATGACCCACATTTGCCATATGTATATTCAGTATGTATGCGCACCATTGTTATCCTCATCCGTCCTGCTCCCTCGCGACTTCCACATATCCTCCTCCTCGTCATCCCCCTGACGGCTCCTCATCCGATTTCTCCTCCCCATCCATAATCCCCTTTAGTCATTTCCCAAGCCTATTCATATTAGTGCAACATACAAGGCATTCGTTGTACACGCGCCTCAGGCTCGCCTGGCAACGGCTATGCCGCGCCAGGGTCGCCGAGAAGCAGTTGACTGCGCAACTTCCTTTGGTCACCTTTTTCTGGTCTAGGACTGAGTATGCCCACTCTTTCGGGCACCCCTGGTCCAGTCCGTCTCCAGCGTTTCGGCGTGTGGTTGGCGATCCTCTTCAAGACCTGCCACAACCAACCACACGGGGCAGGCCGACGCTGTCACGAACGACGCCTTTGTTTCCGACTGTGCGAAAACACCACGCGTACCTCTTGAATGCAAAGATACACTGTGTCCGGTTGTATTCTAGGACATCTTCGTACACACCAAACGTGCCAGAAGATGTCAAGCCAGACTCTGAGAACCTGTTGTTTTGGCCTTCGAAGCAGGGAGGAAACAAATGCCCCCCTCTTTCGTGACACCGCCGGCAACCGCAGCTAAACCGGGCTATTGTCCCCTGTTCCTTGAACGGACACGAACCACGGCCCACGGGTGTGAGCCACCAGACCCCTGCGTTAGGCGCACCTGCGAAGCCCCCTTTTTGGTAAAGCCACCACTGCTACTTCTCTGACTGTCGGGAAAAAGGCCGCACCACCGAAGACGAGCTCCTGGAGAGACTTTCGGCTGATAACCAGTCATTTGCCAAACATATCCAAATTAGTGCAACATACAAGGCATTCGTTGTACACCCGCCTCAGGCTCGCCTGGCAACGGCTATGCCGCGCCAGGGTCACCGAGAAGCAGTTGACTGCGCAACTTCCTTTGGTCACCTTTTCTGGTCTAGGACTGAGTATGCCCACTCTTTCGGGCACCCCTGGTCCAGTCCGTCTCCAGCGTTTCGGCGTGTGGTTGGCGATCCTCTTCAGGACCTGCCACAATCAACCACACGGGGCAGGCCGACGCTATCACGAACGACGCCTTTGTTTCCCACTGTGCGAACACACCACGCGCACCTCTTGAATGCAAAGATACACTGTGTCCCGCTGTATTCTAGGACTCTTTCGTACACACCAAACGTGCCAGAAGATGTCAAGCCAGACTCTGAGAACCTGCTGTTTTGGCCTTCAAAGAAGGGAGGAAACACATCCTTTTCCTCCTTACGCTCCTCCTCATCATCCTCCCCCGCTTCAGCATTACGATCATCATAATCGGCATCACCATCATCATCATCAACATCATCATCACCACCACCAACAACATCATTTCACTTGGCTGCTCGCATTCCTTCCCCTCCTCCTCATGGTTCTCCTCCTCACCCTATCCCTGCTCATCTCCCTCGTCCTGCATCCCCCTCACTCATGATCCCCATTCATGATTGTTTTTCGTCTTCCTCCTCCTCGCTCGTCGTCCCTCCGTCACCCCCCCTCCAACTCCCCCTCTTGCTCCTTCTCTTTTTCCTCCTCCTCCTCCTCCGCCTCCTCCTCCTCCTCCGCAAGTCACTCCCCTATCGGCCCTCAAGATGCCCCAGGAGCCCCCCGAAAGTGCCTCCAAGAGGCCCCCGAGAGGTCCCACACGAAATCCCAACGAACATCCAATAGGCGTTGTACCCACAACCCAGGCACGGTGGCGGGGTGGGCCGCAGGCCATTCGATCCGCCGCCCCCTGTCGATTCATCGCAGAAGTGCCTGGCGTGCTAAATGATTTCGGTTTTGGTTCTGGTTCTTTGGTCTAAAAGAACTCCCCCTGGGGCTTCGGCCCAGCCCGCCGGGGTCCCGGAAAGCTCTTCCAGGACCGCAAACGACCTCAACGTCCGCAAAAAATTCTCCAAGACGGCTCAACATGGCCTCGAAGACGGCCAAGATGGCCCTCAAGCTCGTCCAAGATGGTCCAAGATGGCTTCCCAGATGGGCCAAGAGGCGGCCCAAGAGGGTCCAAGATACCTCCAAGTTCGCCCAAGAAGCCTCCAAGACGGCCTAAAAGGCCTCCAAGAGGTCCTCCAGGAGGGCCCGAAGAGGCCAACATCGTTGATTTTCTTTAGGGTTTTGAAAGGTTTCGGCATTTACTTCTTCTCGGCATTCCGATGGCCGAAGACGGCCCAAGAGGACCCCAATATCGCCTCAAGATTGCCCACGAGGCCTCCACGATGGCCCCATGACGGCCCAAGAGGCCCCCAAGACGGCCCCAAGAGAGCTCCAAGAGGCCTCCAAGACGGCCAAGATGGCCTCCAAGACATCTAAGATGGCCCCAGGATGCCTCCAAGACGGCCCAAGATGCACCCAAGACGGCCTGAGATGGCCTCAAGATGACCCAAGACGGCCCCAGCCGCAGAGGCCAAAATCATTTATATTCCTGAGGTTTGGATTTTGGCATTTGCTTCTTTTCTGCATTCCGACGGCCCATAAGGCCCCCAAGACGGCCCCAAGAGGCCTCCAATGCGGCCAAGATGGCCTCCAATACGGCTAAGATGGCCCCAAGATGCCTCGACGATGGCCCAAGATGCACCCAAGACGGCCTGAGATGGCCTCAAGACGGCCCAAGACGGCCCAAGAGGCCTCCAAGACGGCCCAAGAGGCCTCTAAGAGTTCCTCTGGGAGGACCTGAAGAGGCCAAAATCATTGATTTTCATTCGGTTTCTCAAGATTTGGGCATTTGCTTCTTCTCGGCATTCCGACGGTTCCAGACGGCCCAAGAGGCCCCCAAGATCGCCCCAAGATCGCGCCAGAGGCCTCCAAGATGGCCCCATGACGGCCCATAAGGCCCCCAAGAGGGGCCAAAGACTGCCTAAGAGGCCTCCAAGACGACCAAGAGGGCCTCTAAGACCCCCCGATATGCCCCAAGAGGGCCCCAAGAGGGCCCCAAGACGACCGAGACAGGCCACCAAGACGGCTTCCGACAGCGTCAGACAAGCCAGGAACGCCCTAAGACGGCCGAAGAGGCCCCCAAGAAGCCCCCAAAGGCCCCCCAAAACCCTCCAAGAGGCCCCCAGGAAGCTCCCAGGAGGCCCCAAGAGTGCCCCAAGAGGCGCCCAAGAGGCCTCCTCCTCCTCCTCCTCCTCCTCCTCCTCTTTTTCCCCATATCCTAAGATGGGGTTCTTGTTATTAATTTGACTCATTTTACTCCTCATTCCTCTTCTTCTCCTCCTCTTCCTCCGCCTGCGCATACCTAGAATTACTCATACACAGACTTACTCATACACAGACTTACTCATACTCAGACCTGATCATATTAACTTACTTATTCTCAGACCTACTCACACTCAGACCTACTCATACTCAGACTTACTCACGCTGAGACTCACTCATACCCATACTTACTCATACGCAGACCTTCGTGTTGTCTGACTTACTCAACACACAGCAGATTGTGAGGATGTCTCAGGCGGGGCGCTAGTTTCAGCACCCCTAAGGGGAGCCGCCAAGGGGTATGACACGGTCCCGTTCGCGGCCATTTAGTGGGGATGTCTCAAGCGGTTTGCCTGGTTTCTGTCCCAACATCCTTCACTTGGAGGGCAGATTGTGAGGAAGTCTCAGGCGGGGCGCTGGTTTTAGCACCCCTAAGGGGAGCCGCCGAGGTCGCCGTTCTGTGTGGATGTCTCTAGCGGTTTGCCTGTTGTCTGCTTTTGCGTTGTGTCCCGAGTGGCCAGGTGTTGCTGGCGCAGAGCTTGCGTCCCTATAATATGAGATGCACATGCGGCTCATATGGCTAGACGCTCATTTAAATATCCCAAATTCCTTTCAAAAAGAATGCGCATATGGCGAGCTCCACGCAATGAGTAATTTCCTCATCCTCCCCCTCCTCCTCTTCTTGCTCCCCCACGCGTTCCCCGAAGTCTTTCCAAACCGACTCGGGGAACAACTCGCCAGATAGCTTGGCCAAGCTCTGTCACAGCTGTTGGCCTCAGAGGCGCTTCCAAAGTGGCAGGGGGCGGCGGTGATTCGCCGTAGGCGTTTTTGATACTGTTAACCAGTGTGACTGCGACACATTTCTTTACTCTGCCCATTCGCCTCCCACCTCCCTCTCCCCTCCCCGCCTCCCCCTCCGCCCTTTAACACGAAGTCTTACTGCTTACCCTCGCGCGCCATTTGCGCAAAGCTTGCAAGTGGTGACCAGCCGAGGTTCAGTGACATGTTCCACGTATGCATGTGCACATGTCCTGCCGATGCGCCGTCAGGGAGCGGCTCTTCACTTGCTTTCTCGGGCGGACTGGGATGTCTCTGTGCCACGTGAAAGCCTGGGACCAGGCCGGATCCAACTCCCTTTGAACAGTCCTAACAACGTGGAGCCACGTGGTGGCCCAGGGGCGACAGCATGCCTCCGAGGCACGCCCTCGGCACATCCAGGGCACCCACCACCCCTCTTACTGCACAGTCAACAAGCCAGAGAGGCTCAGGCGATCGGCTGGGCACGTGCGCTTTGCCCTGCTGCATCAACTGCTCGTGAAAACGATGCGGCACACAATTCCGGCGTCGCTCTCGGCCTCTGCCGGTGTCCCTCCCCTTCTGGGGCCCAGGGCGATGCCCGAGTGCGGGCAGCCACGGAGACAACCTTCTGCGGCAATCCATACGAGCTTCCCAGTTCATACTGCTGGCTCGCGCGAGTCGACGCTGGCCGACGCGCGTCTCATCTGCGCTCCTCCTCCTCCTCCTCCTCCTCCTCCTCCTCCTCCTCCTCCTCCTTGGAAGCGAGGGCGCGCACGCGCGACCTTACGCGGGCAGCTTACGCGCCGATGTCGGCGCAGACGACCCCGTTTCTTTGCGTCGCTCAGGTGGGAGCGGAGGAACGCGCCGCACCGCCGATGCATCGACGACGCGTCGCCGTCGTGGGCGACGCATCGGCACCGTCGGCGTGACCAACCATCGGGGTTGGAGGGGAGGATCGCGCCGCACCGCCGATGCATCGACGATGCGTCGCCGACGTGGGCGACGCATCGGCACCGTCGGCGTGACCAACCATCGGACGTCAACTCGAGCGGCAGCGCCGATGCATCGGCGATGCGGCGCGGCCCTCCGACCACATCCACTCGGAGCCCGTCCTGGAGGCCTGGACGCAAAGGGTCTACCTGCCTGCCCCCCCATCGCGCTCCCACACCACGCCCAGGAGCCCGCAGGCCACGATCGCCCCAAGAGCACAGGGACTCCTCCCACAGGCAGGCTCGCGCCGTGACGGCCTTCAGGCGTTGGCTTCCTGCGCCGCGCGGGCCCTCACCAGCGACTCTGCAGGGTGTGGTCTGCCAAGGGTGTGGCTTGCAGCGCGCACCCTGGGGGGCGTGCGGGGGCCTCGACAGAGCTCTCCGCTGCACAACGCGGTGCCTCCAAAGTCCGAACGACGCAGATCGGCCGGGACCTCGCGCAGCCATACCCGTCGCGGCTTTTCAATGGCGCGGATCGTTCCACATCGGCCGGCTCCGGTGCCAGCGGCGGCGTTCATCCTTGCACGCCCGCGGCGGGGTCGCCACCGCGTCGACACGACGCGAGCACACCGTGCTCTCTGCATCTGGGTCGTGGGGATATGCTCTGGTCGGCTGCTCGGCTGCTGCAGCGCGCCCCGCCTGGGCGACGTGTCCCGAGCGCCCAGTCGACGGCTGTCGCCCGGGCGGAGGCTCCCGCCTCGCCGCCGTGGGGTCGAGCCCAACACAGAGCCCCACCCAGCCTCACACGGCAGGCTCGCGTCGCGACGACTTGGGCGGTGGTTCTGATCTCTGACAGCGCGGATCTTTCGGCGAACCTGCCGCACCGAGGGTCGGCGTGCGCGCTTCGGGCCACTCTGAATGCCTGCGGGCCCCGGTCCCACAAGGCTCGAGGCAATCCACGGTCACGGCGCAAGCGAAAACCGACCGAGCCAGCAACGAAACCGAAACCGACCAGTACTGAGAGGCCGCCATGATGAGTATCGTTGAACCGATCCCCATCCCCAGCGGCGCGGCCTGGGCCCCACTGGCCGATTTACCCCCCTAGAAGGGGATATAGGTCGTTCCCTTCGGGTTCCGAGGGATGTATCCCCAACTGGGGTGGTAATTTGGTGGGGGTCTCAAAGGGAATGGGGATGGGGATGGGGATTTGTTAAACGATACTGGCATCAGCCAAGGGCGCAACGATGCAATGCGGCAGCGGCACAACAACCGACCGAACCAGAACGACCAAACGCAACCGCCTGCGACGTGGCCGAAGCGACCGAGTCCTGTTAACCCTCGAGCATTCACACTATTCACATGGAGCGCGTCCGTAGCACCCCCTCCGCGGACATGGCAGGTGCCGCACGCAACGTTGAACAAGCGCTTGCCACGGATGAGCTCCTCCTTGGACAAATTCCTGGTCTTACCTTAGCGTGAAGAAAGCCAAAAGCGCGCAGGAACCAACTAGCAATGACAGGAGTAATGGCCACTGATGTACAACAAAAACACCCGGCGGTTTCCCAAAATAGACAAGAAAAGGCGGGCGCGACAGTAACCGGAAGACACGGAGACCACGGAGGCGTCCATGCTGAAAAGCTGGAGAGACGCGAAGCCTCATTCGAAACCGTGAACCGCTGATGCAGATGCATGACCGTGGCAGACGTACGCGACGTTCGCCTGCTCCTGCTGCTCGTCGCTGTCGATACCGTGGTGGTGGTCGTCGCCGTCAACATCGTTATCGTCGTCGTCAACATCTTGATCGTCGTCATCCTCATCCTACTCCTTGCCCTCCTTGCCATGCTCGCTCTCATGTGCTCGGGGGGGAAGAGGGGGGGTGGGAGGGAGGGAAGGGAGGGTCAGAGGCAGAGAACGAGGGGAACGACAACTGGGTGAGTTGATGAGTGAGGATGGCGGGTGGGTGGTCGGGGGGCCGCACCCTGCTGACTCCCAGCCCGCCCCCGACGCCTGGTGCGCAGGGAGTGCAGAGGAACAAGCACCGGCATGAGCATGCACTTCTGGAGCTCCGCTGGGACTCGTTGAATCTCCGCTAGGGAGGGGGATCCAGCTCAGATCCGAGAAATCCGCGCGCAGCTCCGAAAGTGTATGCTTATGCCGCTTGCTCTTCCAGAGTGGCAGGCTGCACGCAGGGCAGGCAGCCCGCAAATCCATACAGGCAGCCCGCAAATCCAGACCGAAGGGAAGCCTTCCCTTCTGCTCTGGCTCGGCGGAAACTTCGGCACGCGACCTTCTGAGCCTGGCTTCAGGACAGGGGATGCGCGCGCCACGCCTGCGCTTGCCGCGCTCGCCCTGAAGAGGCCTCGGCTTCGCGCAAGTACAAACCTAGGAAGCAATCAGCAAAGACTCATGCCACATTCAGCCGTTAATGCCCCCGGTGATAATCGAAGGTGGCGGCGGGTTCACTGAGTTACACTTCGATCGCAGTTTTCCCCGCACGCGCCAGCTTCGACTTTGGGGGAGAGGGGGAGTGTCCACTAATTGTTCCCCTCTGCCTCACTCTTGCCACGGTCCTGGTGCCTCAGGCGTGGCCTGCCAGACTCTCTGCAGCGGCAGCCAGGGCGAGTGAGCCACAGAGCTGCAGTCAGAGAGTATGGCTTGCGAGAAGGAGGAGAAGAAAGAGGAGGGGGCGGAGGGGCCGAAGAGGAGCAGGAGCAGGAGCATGAACGCTGTGGGCGCTCCTGTCGATCAACACGCACACCTGCACCGACAGCATAACAGAAGGAGCACTGCGCCACCGTGAGAGGAAGAAGCTGCGATGCCGGGGGAGGTGGATTGGGATGAGGAGCAGGATGCGGGCAAAACTCCACGAGGCCTGCCTGGGTGGCCGGGAGGCCCCCGGCTCAGAGCCATGCAAAGGCCGCACATGGCCCAGCAAGCCCTGGGCGACCGCTGCCTGCATCCGGGAGCAGTGCCAGGTCGATGGGTCATGCCCCGACAGTCCGGTCAGGCCTCCACGCCTCCAGCGGGGTGTAACCTTCCTCCTCCTCCTCCTCCTCCTCCTCCTCCTCCTCCTCCTCCTCCTCCTCGTCCTCCTCGTCCTCCTCGTCCTCCTCGTCCTCCGCGTCCTCCTCATCCCCCCCCCTCGTCCACCTCGTCCTCCTCCTCCTCCCCCCCCTCCTCCTCCTCCTCGTCCTCCTCCTCCTCCTCCTCCTCGTCCTCCTCGTCCTCCTCGTCCTTCTCCTCCTCCTCCTCCTCCTCCTCCTCCTCCTCCTCCTCCTCCTCCTCCTACCCCTCCTCCTCCTCCTCCTCCTCCTCCTCCTCCTCCTTTTCCTCCTCCTCCTCCTCCTCCTTATCCTCCTCCTCCTCCTCCTCATCATCATCATCATTCCTCCACCGCCCGCCCCATGTCCCGAGCCTGTGGCAGGGTCATCAGCTCGTGGTTGTCGTTGTCGATTGTCGTCGTGGTCGTGGTTGTCGTCGTCGTCCTTCTGGGTCGGCGGCGCCGGCCGAAGGCCTTCACAATGATGCCACGTCGATGGGCCACGTCACGAGAGTCCAGCCTTGGCTCCACGCTTCCAGCGGGGTGTAACCGCGTAGGCAACCCTGGAAGATGCTGGAACCACCTGGGCCTAGAGGCCTCTGAAGTTTTAACCTTCCTGAGCTCTGGGGTGTTCCGAAGGGGGGGCCCAGCAGATGGGGGTCAGCGAACCATGGCCCGAAGCACGTGCGCGGACGAGAGAGGTGGGGGGATGGGGCAGGAGGCGGTTGGAGAGAAGGGGCCCCAAAATCTCGGGCGCACGCTATTATGGACTGTCGATTTAGGTCGGGCGTGTCCCCCTATAAGCGGAATTCGGACAACAAATAACAAATAATAAAAAACACACTCCGAAATGGTAAAGAAATATTCAAACCATCGTCCCAAAACTATGTTTTGACTATTTTTGAATACTCCTCCTGTAGAGGGACGTGCCCGACTTAATTGTAGATCCGTAGATCTGGCGCGTGGGCGTCAAACCCACGGATCTGGGAAAATGCCCCCCGACACGTGAAGGCAGTGCCGTCTCGTCTGGCGACGGAGCACGCCGATTGTCGCATTGAAGTGGGACCCGTTGCCAATCCGCGCGCCTCAATCCATGCGTGCGCGTCCTCAACGACCTCGTGGCCTCGGCCATGACATGTACCCCTCCGAGAGGGGTCAAAGATTTCGTGGCCCCAATCATGGCATCTCCCCCACTGGCCCTCACCTGAGCACCGTTGAACCGATCCCTATCCCAACTGGCGTGGCATTGGCCCCACTGGCCGACTGACCCCCTAGGTGGGATACGTGCTGTTCCCCTCAGGTTTCTCGGGGGCTGTCCCCACCTGGGCGGGTGACCCAGTGGGGCTGAGATGCCATGAGATACCATGGCCACTGGGAAATGGGGATCGGTTTGATCTTGCTTGGTTCTATTCTCATGCTGGTGATCTCGAGCTCCGACCTCGTTCTGTTCGTCGTGATCCTTCGCCCTCCGCCCCCCCGCCCCCCTGGCCTCTCCTCTGGGTCGGGAAGCCCCCCGTGGAGCCGCGGAGCTCCGAGCCCTGTGTGCTCGTCGTGGTCGCTCGCCCCCCCCCCCCCGTTTGAGCAGGGACCGACCGTCCCGGCATTCCCATACTCCTGCCACGAAATGCTCTCAGGACCCCAACATGTTCTAAGAGCAAAAACAATGTTCTTCGAATCTCAACCCGATGTGTTCCAACAAGACGGACTCCGCCAGACATGTTCTGAGACCATTTCGTGGAAACCACAAAAGGTTCTGAGAACATTGTTTGGTACGGCTATATTGGGCGCCCGAGTTATCCGGGGTAACTCGGGTCCGGGGTAAGTCGGGTTTGGATTCCCGAAAAAGGAACCCGAGTTATCCCTGACCCGAGTTACCCCTGATGATTCGGGGCTCTGGACGCCCGAGTTATCCGGGGTAACTCGGGTCCGGGGTAACTCGGGTTTGGATTCCCGAAAAAGGAACCCGAGTTATCCCTGACCCGAGTTACCCCTGATGATTCGGGGCTCTGACAGGACGCTTCGCCACTGCTTGACCCTCGCCCTCTGGGCCCTCCTGGCCTCCCTTCTGGGCCGGGGGGGGAGAGGTCGCTCGTGGCCCCCCCCCCTGGCCTCCCCGCTGGGCCGCGGGGCCCTCTGCCTTCAGGAGTGGTCGGCCGCCCCGGGCCTCCTCGCTCCTGGGTTATAAGTCGGGCTTGTCCTCCTGCAGGAGGACTTTGGACCAACAACTCGCAGATTGCCCAAAAATACCACACAATGGCCCCAAAATGCTAAAAAAAAAGCGTCCCCAGACTATTCTTTGACTGGGTTGGAATACTCCTCCTGTAGAGAGACAGGCCCGACTTGGCTCCTGGGTCGGCGAGCTGGGCCGCGTGGCCCTTTCCGTGTCGTCGTGGTTCGTCCTCCCCCCACTGGCCTCCCCGGCCACCCTTCTGGGCCGTGGGGCCCACCCCCGGCTTTCCTGGACCTGCAGGTGACAAGGCAAAGGCAAGCGTGCGATTTGTTAGTTCTATCGGGGAAACGTAAGACTCGGGTATACGGGGGACTCGGGTCGGCCTGATCTGAAATCTGACGCGAGCTCCCGCTGCAAAAACATCCCACGGAAACCGGACCGTCAAAATCCAGGCAGCGCTCGTCAAAAAAAAATATCGGTCAACCCGAGTTCTGGCTTGCTCGAGTCCGACGTTGCCCCGATGCTAGTGCTGGTCGTCACCCTGGGACGCGGGGAATCCTGGAGCCCCTGGTGGCAACAACGCTTGGGCGCGGCACGTCGGTGCGTGCGCTGCGATCGCCACAGAGTACACGCGCGAGCGCCAGCATGTGGGTGGGGGGCCCAACCCCCCCACACCACCACCACCACCACCCAACACGATCGTTGCCGCTGACGGCACGGGCGTGGGCGGGGGGGGGGGGGGCGAGTGACGGCCGCTCCGCGCCGCAGGAGACAAAAGAACAACCTCTTAGAGACGATGCTGATCGCCCCCCTTCCCGCGGCGGCTCCGACGAGGACTCTCAGGTGGTCGCCGGGCCCTCCCGGCGCCCGCGGCGCGGCGCGGGCCCGCGCCGCCGGGCGGCGCGCCCCCGGCCTGCCCCGAGCCGAGGCCCCGGCCCTTGCCGTCCACGGGGATGGCGACGTCCTCTCCGCGGGAGGGGCGGGGTCGGGGGCCTCGGGGCCTCGGGGCCTCGGGGCCCCGAGGACCGCACGGTGACGGGCGCCCTCGGAGAGCGACCCGGGTTCCAACACCGCGCGGTGACCCCCGGAAGCCCGCTGACTCACCGCACGGCGCGGGCACCACGCCGTGCGGGAGCCCCCGAGGGGGCGGGAGCGGCGGGGCAGGGCAGGCGCCGGGAGAGGGGCAGGGTGGGAGGGAGGAGTGGCGAGGCAGAGGGGGCGAGGGGGGAGCGTGGAGGAAGTGAATGGGCGGGTAATTGGGCGGTGGGCGCGAGAGAGAGAGAGAGAGAGATAGGGGGAGGCAGAGAGAGAGGGGGGCAATACATATCACCATGATAGAAGGCGAAACGTACAGAGGAGAGGGAACAAGAAGGAGAGAGAGAGAGAGAGAGAGAAAAAAAACAAAAAAAAAAAAAAAAAAAAAAATAAATAGAGAGAGAGAGAAGGAGAGAAGCAAGTATGAGACAGAGACGGGAAGATAATGTGTGTGAGGGAAAGAGAGATTATAGGTATATGTCTCTCTCGTGTTTCCACCTTTCTCTTTTGCTGTCTTATATCTCTTTCTCTTTCTCCCCCTCTCTCAATTTATGTATGTATTTCTCTGTCTCTCTCTCACGCTCTCTCTCTCTCTCTCTCTCTCTCCCTCTCCCTCTCTTTCTCTCTATACTTGCACTACACACGTGTATGACACGCGGGCCGAATTCTCGACGGCGGCGCTGCTCGCAGGGGCGGGAGCGGAAAACGTAACAATCGGAGCCCTGCTGGGCCAAACATCTGGCAAACATCGGCGCGTGCCTGGAACGCCCCGAACACGGCACCCCCATACGTATGTGGCATCGAGTGTTTTCAGTCGATTGACATGTCGATCAGGGCTCACAGGTAGAGGGAAATGCCGTGCAACTAAGAACTATGGAGGAAGGGAAAAAGGGACATGGAGTGGTATGGAACGAGCCGGGGTCGAGCGAAACGAAGACAGAATGCCAAGAAGAAAAGGAGGGACCAATCATTCGAGTGATCACGAACCTTCTCGTCAAAAGTCAACGCCACGCACTTTCTCCCACGACGGCAAGTACTGATTGAAAGGTGCGGGCCACGTGGACCTGCGCGTGTGTCCAGCATCCTTACGAACATAAAACATAACGGGCTAGCCTGTCATGGATTCACCATGCCTGCGTCGCAAGACGAAGCACAAGCAGTGGCGACGGGCCACCCTGTTCTTCGCGACGCGAGCGGCTCTCCTCGCGCCAATCCGATGCTACGCTGCGCCCTTCCGGGCGGTGGTGTGATGACGAGTGAAGGCTTGCCGTGATGTGTCATGCTTGGTTGCACTCAATGTTGCGCCAAGCTATACGATATTCGGATCGTGATATGGTTTGGTTGCGGCTGGCTGCGTCGATTATGACGCGACGGGGCGACTCTGCCACCGTTGTGAATGATGCGCGACGGTACGATGTGTCCGGCTGAACTGCCCCCCGAAACCTGCGCGTGGATGCGGCTTCCACTAAAAATCTACAAATCTGAAACATGCGAAACGGACGCGTCGTGGCACGACTAAGCGCCATGGGGGGCAGCATACCGTTTTTGTGCGGACGAAAAACGAAGGTGACGACGACGACGACAACGGCGACGACGACGACCGCAACAACGACAGCGACAACGACAACGGCGACGACCAGTTCGAGACAGCCTGCCTGCGCGCGCCACAGCCGCATGGGCGCCGAACCATCGCGGGGGCGTCGCGCAACGCACCACGTGCGCGCCGAGGTTGCGCGGCGCCTGAGTATCGTTTAACCGATCCCCATCCCCAGCGGCGCGGCCTGGGCCCCACTGGCCGAATTGCCCCCCAGATGGGGATCTAGGCCGCCCCCTGCGGGTTTCGAGGGGAGCATCCCCAACTGGGGGGGGTAATTTGGTGGGGGTCTCGCAGGTGATGGGGATGGGGATGGGGATCGGACAGACGCCGCTGAGCGCCCCCCTCCTGCCGGGACTGCAGCGCTGGCGACTTCGAGGCGACCCGCCTGCGCGCGCCGCGGCCGCGCGGGCGCCGGCGCGCGCGCGCGGGGGCGAAGAACAGCACGCCCCCGCGCGCGGCACGGGCGCCCCATCCCCGCCCGCGCGGTCACGAATGGAGGAGGAGGACGGGGAGGAGGACGGGGAGGAGGAGGAGGAGGAGGAGGAGGAGGAGGAGGAGGAGGAGGAGGAGGAGGAGGAGGGCGTTGACGACCGAATGCCGCCCGCGCGCGAAGGCGCAACTGCCCCGATCTACCCCAAATCGCCCTGGGGCCCCACGCGCCCGCGCTCGCGGGGGGCCGGGTCGCGGGCGGATGAGCGACGGGCGCCGAGAGGGGAGATTGGCGCGAGGCAGATTGGAAGGCGACCGCGAAAACGGCAGAGGGAACGGGGGCAAGGAACGGCAAGGAGGAAAGGAACAATCAAAATGGAAAGGGAATATGCCGGAGAGGCCACGAGGGAGGAGGGCGCAGACGGGCGCGGAACACGCGTGAACACGATAGAAAGAGGCGCGACGAAAAACGCAAGAGAAACGCAAGAGGACTCAGACGGGGGCCGGCGGCGAAAGGGCGGGGGAAGTGGGAGAAGGAGACGCGATCAGGGGCGATTAGGGGGGGGCGTCGGGCGAGGGGGGCGAGGGAAAAGGCGAGGACGAAGACGAGGGGGCGGATCGCGACCAGGAAAAGTGCGAAGCGAGCACGAAAACAAGCGAGGATACGGAGGAAGAGGAGGAGGAGGCGGAGGAGGAGGAGGAGGAGGGAGGGCGACGACGAGGGCGAGGAGCAGGCGGAGGAGTGAGACAGAGAATGCAAGGCCATAGCGATGAAAAGAATAGGGGGCGAACCGGGCATGGAATGGAAAACAAATAAGGAAGTCGCGCGGCCCCCCGCCAGCGCCCGCGCTCGGAGTCACGCGGCCACGGGCCCCCTCAAGAAGGAGACTGTTGGTTTTCGCGCGCGGACTTGGGCGCCGCGGGTGGGGCCCCCCAGGAGCTCCTTGAAAAGCCTTGAAAGGCTCCTGCAGAGGCACCCGACGCCACCTCCTCGGCTCCTCGGTGGCTCATGATAGGCCCCTGGAAAGCTCGCAGAGCGGTCCTGGGGCTCGTCTGAATGAGGCCCACTTCCTGACGAGGACCTCTGAGAGCTTCTGAAGCGATCTCGAGAGGCCCCGGAGAAGCTCCCGGGGGGGCTCCTGAAGCGCTTCTGAGAAATGCTCGTTGAGGCCGGCCACGAGCGCACCTCGCGCATCCGAGTCCCGCCTTCGAATCCTGCCTGCGGCGACCGCGCGCCTGCTCCGAATCTCGCCCACCGACGCCCCGAACAGGGCTCCGAATCGCGCCGAGCCGGGGCTCCAAATCTCGCCCGTCGACGCCCCAAATAGCACCCCCAAGGTGAGATAACGCGCCCAACTTTCGCGACAGATTCGGCGATGTGGAAGCGCAAGCTTTCACGGCACCTTTCGGCGGCCTCTTTCGGCGGAGCCTCAGGGAAGACCTGCGCGGCGCGGGCGGGCGGCCTGCGTGCCCGGGGCCCCGCGGGCCCCGAGTCCAGGGCCCTCGGCTACAGGGCGCAGGGCTCCCTTGATTCTGGGGCCCTAAGGCCCGCGGACCCCGCGCAGCCCGGGGTGCGCGATCTCCACGAGCTCCCTCTCGAGGGGCCCGTGGCACCCGGGCCCCAGGAACTGGGGCGGAGGGCTGAGGCCCTGTGGCGAAGGGGCGGGACCTCCTGGTGGGCCCCGCAGGGCAGGAGCAACGACTCCTGGGCACCGTCGTCGAAGGTCGAAGGGCTCCCAGGGCGTGGAGCCGTGGGCCCGCGAAGTCCACGGCGCGGCCCTGGGGCCACGGGCCCAAGTCTCTCGCGTCGTCGAGTGAGGAGGGCCCGCGACCCTCGGGCCCTGGAGCCACGTGCTCTCGTGCACCCCCGCCTGAGAAGGCTTCGATGGGGGCGTTCGGTCCTCGCGCGCATGGGGTTCATGGATGGCATCCTGGAGGGCCCGCTGAACGCTCCGGAAGCTTCGACTTCGTCCCCCCGCGGACAACCCCAGGCGCACCCCAGAGTCAAGGCGGGGCAAACACGATGGCGTGCTTGCCCCGCCAAAGCGCTGGCGGCCAAAGGGCAAGCTCGACGCGATGAGCTAGGAAACGCTTCTGCGCGCGGGGTTCCCGAGGCGCGCGCACGAGCGCGCCCCGCCCCGGGGGGGCGGCCCGCGCGCGCGTGAACTCCTGCTCGCGCGACAGAGTTGCCCCCGAAGACAGTTCGGCGAACGGGCATCTCCACTCCAAATCAACAAGATGCGAAGCAAGCGCGCGCGCACTCGCATCGGGGGTTACTCGCCCCGGTGCGCGGGCGCAGACAAGGAGGGCGACGACGACGGCGACGATGGCGACGACGACGGCGAAAACGACGGACGCGACTTCGACGGCGACGACCACCGCCACTTCGAGGCACCCCGCCCGCGCGGGCCACCGCCGCGCGGGCGCCGCCGCTTGCGGGGCCGCCCAGCGACGCTGCCCGGGCGCGAACGGGGCGCGTTGCCCCCCGCCCTCCGCACGAGAGCGACGACGACGACGACCTCGAAGCACCGTGCCGGGCCGCGCCGCCTCCGCGCAGACGCCGGCGTGCGCGGGGGCGCGAGGGGGGGAACCCACGACGAAAGCAACAAAACGGGGGGAAAACCCACGACGAGGGGCGCGAGGGGGGGAGCCCACGACGAGGGGGGGAACCCACGACGAGGGGCCCGAGGGGGGGACCAACGCGAACACAGCAAGAGAGTGCGCACAAGGAGCCAAATCGGAGCGAGGCGGGCCCAGGGAAGATGCTGCGCTCGGAGGCCGCGCCGTGGCTCGAAAAACGCCGCGCGGCCCCCCCCGATGCCGCGCCAGTACTCTTCGCGGGCCTGCCGCGCCCCGAGCAAGATCTGCGCACGGCCTCGGCAATTGCTCGTTTCGTGTGCAGCTTCCTTGAAGGGGCCCACAAACACACAAATAAATACACACAAATAAAAATATTTTCTCATATTTTCTGAGTGTTTGTCTTCCCCACCACTTCCCATATTTTCCCATATTTTCCTGGGGATCGACGATTAATTGTGTCTGTGTGTTTCGTCCCCTCCTGATTCCTTCGGAGCCCCCTCCGCCGGCTTCCTTGAACGCCAGCGCGGCTGTCGCTACAGCGGTGCCCCAGCGAGACGTGCCCGACCACGCGCGCCCCGAGCAAGAGTTGCACGACCTTGGCGATCGATCGTCTGATGTGCAGCTTCCTTCGGAACCTCACCGCCGGTTTCCTTGAGCGCCGGCACGGCTGTCGCTACAGCGGGCCCCAGCGAGACGGGCCCGACCACGCGATGCAGCAGCGCGAAAAGCATCCCATAACGCCAGCAGGACAGCGCGAGACAACAACATTCACCGAAGTTTTGTTGGGGGTCCTGTTCAACCCGATGCTATGGCATGGCCTATGATATGACTTTTTACGTCGCAGCGCCGCAGCGGTGATCCGCTCACGCTAATTGCCGGGGGCGCGCGGGGGCTATGACATGACATGGTACGCGATATCATGTTCGGCTAGGGAATGCATTGTTGTGATACGTGCTGACATGCGTTTCCACACCATGATCTGATGGGCAAAATCATGGTAAAGGCATGCCGCGTTAAATTCCCAAGTGTCACTAAAATCTCTACAACGCTGGGTCCCCAGTCCAGGCGCACCAACTATCTGACAAAGATACGGACGAACAGGACAACGCAACAATATTTGCTGGAGCCCCCTGCAACGCATTTGCATAAATGAAGATTCGAGAAGGATGTACGCGGTACCTGGACGGTTGGACGATTGCGGCTTTGAGAAATTACCGCCGTGTTCACATTCACGATATTTGTTCGCAGATACAGGAGAAGCCTCAAACGTCGTTGTGAGATATCGCCGACCTTCAGACATGTCCCTGTTCGAAATGTGAATGCCTACACGCAAGAAGGCTTGGCGCGATTGCCATACTCAACCAGCAGGGCCCACTGTCAACTTCGAGCAGCTCTTGAAGATGCCTCAATCTGCAGTCAAGTAACTACGGCAAGATCTGTTTGTTGAACGTGTGTTAACATTTCGGAAACACACACGCATGCGCGCGCACACGAACGTGCGCGCGCGCACGTGTTCAGGATCGGGTTTGATCTCTGGCTCGGGTCACGGCTTGGTCTCAACCTACCGCTCGGGCTCGCGCGCGCGCGCTCGGTGTGTACTTCGCGGGATGAACGAAATTCCTCTTGACGCGCCAGCGGCGTCAAGCGGGGGGCGAGAAAGCGTCGGCGCCGCCAACCGCACGGCGCCTGGGCAATTTGCTTTCAACAACCAGGGGGTGAGGAGAGATGTGTTCATTTCTGGGGTCCGTGAGACAACGCGGGACCTGTCTGTGGCAATGTGTAACCACACACTCTTCCCCCGTATAAGATTAACAGCGGCGGGCTTGGGCGCAGCGGATCCGAATTTCGCCGTCCCCTATTGAACGTATGCAACAAATGTTGAAACAAGGTATAAATCGGACCCGCGGAAAAAACGGACATCATGTGCAAAACATCCGATATCGGATCCGCGCGGGCGGAAATCGGATCTACCGCTACACAAATCCAAACTGAATTCAGCTCCGCACCAACTTAATTCGACCTGCCGAAATCGATCTCATGCGCGCAAGCGCAAGACTTACAAGGTTCATGTACGGGACCGAGAGGGAGAAACCCTCTTCCTGGGGATGGAATGCTCCTGTGGCTTGTGCCATGGCTGTCCCGTAAGTTGTCCCGCGATTGCCCCGCGGGCTGTCATGTGGTTTGTTCCGCGGTTGTCCTTTGGATTAACCCCTGGGTTGTCCAACAGTGGTCCCGCGGGTATCCAGTGATTTCAAATGCGCGTACATAGGCGAATGATAACATATTGGTGAACGCATGCGCGCACATTACATCGCATGTGCACACAGGCATGCTGGCACCCACGAGGCCACGAAAAATGATCTACCCTAGACGGTGGCAAGACAACAAATGTCCACATGATGGCACGAAGACCATATCACGCGATGCTGGACAACATCTTGCATAACGTATGTCCCAGACCCCTCCTCCCCGAACCCAGCGTTAAAGTGTCCACATGTTGACCTTCGCGCGTTGCCTCGCGCGCACCGCTGTCAACTTTTGGGTTGGAGGTGGGAGCGGGCGATCAATTTTCTGGATGCACTTCGCCGCAGCGTTGTCTTGGCGCGATGGGCGTGGACACCTTTTGTCCACCCACCGTGTTTGAAAGACCTGTTCAATTGGTCCTGAAATTGACACACGTATTCTCATCGCGGACGTGTTCCCGCGCTAGGCTCGCAGTGTTAAAGTTAAAACTCACGTACTTGTCAAAACTCGCGATCGTAATCGCACATTGCTCGAAAGACAAATACGGTTGGGGATCGTAATCGCCTAGGTTTGATTAAACCAAGAAGAATCGATATAATTATCGAGACATTCGACGATTGATATGTCTACCCTATGATTTCGCACAAATACTGCACGCACGGTATTGCAAGTCTTACCCAGAAATATCGCAGCCGCGAGTGGCCTGCACTCAATCAAACATTTCATTAGCAAACTGTCCACCTGACTGTAGCACCGCGAAGACGCATAGCGACAGTAGTAATGCTTCCCCGTCACGGCGATCGGCATACCGGCACATGGCAATGACTTCCATGGGGCGTAGCATGAAAACCCAAGTCATGTGAACCCGTTTGAAGGCGCAGATCCAGTCGGACGTTGGAGCACGACCACACTCGGGGATCTTCTGACCCGGGCCAATCCAGACCCGGGTCACTCAGTCCTTGCAGAATCCTGCAAATCCTGCAAGATCCTGCACCTAAACCCGGGTCAGCGCGAAAAATCCTGCAAGATCCTGCAGGATCCTTCACTCAAACCCGGGTCAATGCGACCCTGGCCCTGCAGGATCCTGCAACATCGGGCTCTCTGGCTGACCCCCGTTTGCATTGACCCCTGTCTCAAGGCTCCCGACCACACTGCACCATGCTGCTAGCCGGTCGTCATGGCCAGACCACGCCCGCCACCGCGCATACATCGCATCTGCGAACATTCTCACTACTTCGGCTACGAAAGGAAGCGGCGGCGTCCGATGAGCACACCATGTGGACGTGCAAGATTACCGGTCGACCTGAACGGGCCTTCCCTATAAAGAATTGAAGCGCGGCGCTGGAATCTTGCTACCAAATCCGATCTGACGTTTCTCGGGCCGACCTTAAAAATGCCAAACTTCCCCCAGCGTGTACAAAATAATGCACTGTGGTGGCGTTTTCCGATTTCCGCCCGCCTCACGGTTGACACTCTAAAGGGCCTGAACATGCAACCCCGATGCGGTTGCGCTTGATCATGCCACTGTCGTGGCCCATGACACTGTAACTTCGGGGATCTGCTGACCCGGGTCAATCCAGGCCCGGGTCAGGCAGGCCTTGCAGGATCCCGCAGGATCCCGCAGGATCCTGCAGGATCCTGCACCCAAGCCCGGGTCGGTGCGACCCTGGCCCAGCCTGGCCCTGCAGGATCCTGCAGGATCCTGCAGGATCCTGCATCCAAGCCCGGGTCAATGCGACCCTGGCCCAGCAGGATCCCGCAAGATCTGGCGCTCTGGCCGAGCCCCGTTTGCCTCGGCCCCCGTCCCTCGAGCCCCGATCCCTGGCCCCGCACGCCGAACTGGGGCTCGTGTGCCCGCCTCGGCCCGCTCACATCACGACGCGCGTGCACGGCGATGCTGGGTGCTGAAGCTATCGTGTGTGTGTGTGTGTGCACTCGCTTTTTGCTCGCGACACGTGCGCAAACCTTACACTTCAGATGTTTCCGTGTGCGCGTCGCCTCTGCGCGGAAGCGACGCAGACATGTACCCCATTCCTCCTCTCGTTTCCCCCCCCCATCCCTCACCCCCTTCTTCCCCACCCCTCGCCTCCCTCCCCCCGAGATGGATGCTTCGGGTCCTCGATCTCAGCGGATGCGGGCGCCCCTGAGACGGCAAGCAAGGCCGCGCCCAGCGCAGCGCCTCGACCGCGTCGGGGGGGGGGGATAAAGGATGGGGCGCGGGCAGGCGCCAACGGGCAAGAATCTTCTTCATCATCCCTTCCACTTTCCCCCTCCTCCCCTCGTCCTTCTCCCGATGGGCAGACATGAGCCCAGATCCACGGATCATGGAAAATACACAGCAGAAGTGTGTAGCCAGTGCCGCCTCATCTGGCGTTACAGCGCACCGATGAAGCACGGAAGCGGGACCCCGTTGCTAATCCACGCGCGTCCTCCTCCTATTCATCCTCCCACTCCTCCTCCTCCTCCTCCTCCTCCTCCTCCTCCGCCTCCTCCGCCTCCTCTTCCTCCTCCCACTCCTCCTCCCCATTACCGTCCTCCTCATCCTCCTCCTCCTTCTCTTCCTGTTCCTGTTTCTCCTCCTCCTCCTCCTCCTCCTCCTCCTCCTCCTCCTCCTCCTCCCCCACACCCATGAGGTGACGTGCGGGCTGCATGTTGCGCTGCGGCATGCTCCTCCTCCTCCTCCTCCTCCTCCTCCTCCTGCTCGTCCTCCTCCTCCTCCTCCTCTAACCCTTCCTCCTCCCCCTCCTCCTCCCCCTCCTCCTTCTCCTCCTCCTCCATTGCCTCCTCCTCCTCCTCGTTCGTTCATTCGTTCGCTCGTTATTTTAGGCCTGTCTTTGACGGGGCCGACGCAAGGCTGGCAATGATGGGGAACCTCGAGTGCGATGTGGAGATTTCAGATCTGGAGTGCGCCGTCCCACGCAGAAACAAGACAGCGATCGTGAACAACCATCCCAATATGAAATCAGCGAGCTCTGAAAGGCAACCAACCCATTAGAAGTGCTTCTAATGCTGCTGCATGGACTTGAGAGACATGGAACGTATACGTCGCAGTCGCTGTGTGGAGTTCAGAGGAAGTCTCTGTCGAAGCTACCGTTGTTCTGTTCATCTTCTGTCTTCGTTGCCTCTGTCACATGCACCACCTTAGGAGGTACAACGGTCGGATCTTATGATTGTTGAGATTCGCCCGTCGGCTGCGCTGCAGCACGCACCCATGCTTCGCGTGCCTTAGGCGGCGGACGAGCACGCTTCGGAGGTGTCGGCGGCATGGGCCAGTAGCAATATTCCATCCATCGTACATGCTGCTGCTGCTGCTGGCCACAGTCCTCGCTGCCGCCACTGCCTTGGGCCAAGTAGCAAGTGGTTGCGTAGGCCTCGCTGTAGCCGGATACGATCGAGCTTCGTGCGACCGCCCTGCTGCTGAATGCACCAAGCTGAATGATGGGCCTGGTGCGCAAGCGCTGGCAACTTCAGGTCCTCCCCCGTGAGATCGATCTTCGGTTCTTGTTCACGCTCATGTTGTGGCGAGCCTCGGCTGACTTGTTAGCGTGTGTCACCAGGATGTCGTCAACTCTTCGGATTTGACACCCTTCCACTTGCCATGGGTGCAACAACAAGTGTGGCGATACATCAGCTATCTGTCCGCCATGCGGCGTCAAGCCACTGACAGAATCCACGGCGAAACCCACCGGGACATTTTTGCGCTACCGAATGTAGCAGTCGTCGACCGGGCGCAAATCTACCGAGACCTTCTTCACATGCTCTCTCTCTCTCTCTCTCTCTCCCTTTCATCTGCAGACATAAGCCACTCATTCTGGACTCGATTGGCGGCCACCTTTGCCCCGTAGAAGCGGAACTGCTTCAATACAAGCCCACGGAAACACATTGTAACTGCTTGGTGTAGTTATGGGCTGTGCTGAACAGAGTATTGTGGGCATTGGTGTGACCGTGAGGTTGCCGATCGCTGCCTCAATTCCCTGCCCCATGCCACGTCCACGCGGCGTCGCCTCAGGCGGTGGGTTTCTGGCGAGACACCAGCAGCATCACAAAAGTGAGCCTGTGTGAAATACCGCTCCATGTTGGAGCTGCGTGCACTGAAATCGTATCACACGTGTGGCTGATATTTGAGCCAAAACTAGATGTGCCATGTTCAGATAGGTCGCGGGGGTAATCACTCCCCCGGGGTAAGTAGCGCCCCCAGATAAGCTGCCCGACGTTTGCGACCCGCCTCGGTCTTACATCGAGCGGGGGGGGGGGAACATGCACTCCAACCAGTGGCCGTTTTGCAAAGTCATCACGCCATCCTTGTGCTCAATTGCGTGTTTGTGCCTTGTGCCTGTCACTGTGGTCGATGTCCCCCAACTGCGTGGGTTTGTACGTTAATGCCTCCCCCCGTGGCACACATCGCCGACGAGCCCCTCGCGGTCCTTGAAGTCTGCCATGCAGATTGGACACGTCGCGCCACGTGCCCAGTACGTTGGGTCATCCAGCGGTGCGCATTGTTCGGTCACGTGCTGACTGAGGATCTTTCGTGAAACAGTAGCCCCACACCCATAAGATACGTGATAGTGCTGCTGGTGTATAGAAGGCTGAACGAGGTGATCGCGCGTTCGCATATCAACGAGTTCCCTTATGTGCTTCATCGCTGCCATGTCTATAGACCACGAGCTGGTCCAAGTCAGTTGCGAAAGTGATCAGACCACCCACGGAATCCTTCTCCAAGTTCGGGCCTTCGCTCGGCAAAGAGATTGGCTACTTAGCCGCGCTGCGTCCCGTTTTAGCCTGCTGGCCCAATCCACGTCAACTGTTCGCAATGCTTTAAGAATACGGCTCAGCCAAGACAGGCCCCCGATGCGCAACCTGACCGTGTATCTGAGGTGTGCCGTATGAGGTCGCAGAAGTTTGACATGTGCTGAAGCGCTCGTCGGGCTGATTCGTCGTCTTGACAAGACCGAGGGCGAAGCGGCACGCTGAGTGGTGCGCCTGCATGATAGACCCAAGTGCGCCAGCATGATGTAAGAGTCTGCTGCTGCCGAGAGCTTTTCCCTACTCGTCTTTGGCTTCGAGCGACAGATGCGGGGCGCGCGCGCGTCTTGCAGCTCCTCCGAGCAGCCCCATGCCCGCGCTCAGAGCTGCAATTGCCCCTGGTACTTCCGGCCCTGGAAGGCCGTCCGCGCGCGCGACGTTCCCGAAGACAACTTGCTGCAACCGAATGGGCAGGACCAAGCCAAGAAGCGATGAATCGACGCGCGCACCCTCGCACCTGAACAGCTCGTCGTTGTTCTAATTTGACTGCGGACCCTTGACCGATTGTAGGACGACCGAGTTGACGGCATGGAGGCGATGCCCATGACTCATCACAGCCGCAGCAACTGCGTCACTGGTGATCTTTGTCGCCGTTGTGATGTCTGTATCTGCTGGAATCCCACCACGCGCATCCATGCAGTCCACAAACGAGAAATTGGCGTCATGTCTCAGCGCAGCTTGCTGCGCGAGGCGCAAACATGCCGGAGCCAGGCGGCGGTGCCGACGCAAGTTCACGGCCATCTAGCGCCTGAGCTATCTTTCCGAGAATCGCCGCCACGAGCGCGCCGCAGCTATCGTTTGCCGCGTTGGCGCTTGGTCGGGAGGTCTGCGCACGGAAGCGAAACGTTGGAACCGCCCTGAACATTCCACCAGCCTCCCTGTTCGGTTCCGCTGAAGAGATGCACGTGGCGGGGGCTGCCGAAGGCCTCGGACTATCTGCCAGGCTCCGCAAGTCGTTCCTTGAGCGGAGGGGCGCGTGCTTCGGGCAGGCTCGCGTTGTCTACGAAATAGCGCGCCAGGTCCGAGTCCGCGGGGCAGTCGAGCGACGTGCTCACAACGACGGTGCGAGGGCAGACTTGAGGTCCAACATCGCTGCAAACGCACGCTGCTCGAAAGCTCAAAGAACAAACATAGGCAACGAGTGTCAAACTATGCGCCTTCTCCTGCGCGCGCTCCACAGTGCAAATGTTAAGGCGATGCTCGACGCATTCTAGTGCAGCGCGCCGTAGACATGCACGACGAAATTCACTGATCGCGCCGGCGCAGGGGAGGGGCCCCTAGGACTGGAGAAACTGAAGAAGGCCCGTCTTGGAAATAGGCGCCGCCCGCCCACCCTTGAATCCTACGGGCCCCACTCCGGCGACGCTCGCCTCGACAGCGACTGGGCGCGCTGACGCGGCCGCGGCGCGAGGAGCCACCCGCCCAAGGTCCGCCGGGAGTTTGTCGGGCCCACGCGCCCCAGGGGGGCGCTTCTTTGGTGTGCATCCCACTTCCCCATCGCGCAGGAACTCGCCTGTCTGCAAGAGGTCCAGCGAATGAATGCAATGCTCGATGAATGCGCTGTGCAACCTGCTCTGCCGATATAGCGCGCGTGATCATGCTGCCGCAAGGACTCCTGTGGTAGCTGCGCATGTATTTCGCTGGCGTCTTGGACTGCCCCCGCGCCATCTACCGAAATGGCGGCCCGCGCGCTTCCTTTGCCGACCTGCACCCATAAACGACTCGCGATGTTGAGGTATCCCAATCTTTTCAGAAGGCGATCGATGGGCGCGTTTCTGTCCTGGGCATTGCCTGCGAGGGGCGCCGCCCGATCGCGCTCGCGCCCGCGCCTCGAGAGCGCGCCGCGAATGAGTCAGCCAAGAACTGCTGCCGCATATTCTGCTTCCCCCACGGCGCATCGCCAATAAAGTTGCCCAACGAAGCCAGCACAACCAGTCCTGCACGGATGCCTCTGGCGCCCCAATCCCCCCGCTCACGCGCTGCGCATCGCCCTCTTCCCTCAGGCGCGCTCGTCCAAAATGTGGGCGCCCTGCGCGTGCTCGGATTGCGGCGCGAATTCCTGATTCGTCGTCTTAGTCTCATTGAGTCCCGCTGCATATGCACATTCGACCGTCTGCGAAGCACTTGGCAACTGAAGCTGCACAGCAACTGGGCACTGATCATCTGCGCTTTGTCCTAAGTCCGAAGCGTACTTATTCCTACAATCAGCAATATCGCCGCGCAGGTCCTCGCGCAACAAGATATCACCAATGCGATGCTGGCCCGCCTTCTTGTTGCACCATGCGTAAACGCGCGTAGATTTGCGAGCGCGCGCGTTAACAGTTATGCGGCGTTGCTCAGCCAATATGCGATGCAGCCCCATGCCCATGGTTATCCCCCTGCCGCGGCGCCCATCCTCCGACCCGCCGTGATTCTACAGAGCCTAATCGGACACCCCCGTCAGAGAATGCGGGGTGCGCGGCCGGCTTCCCAATGCACATGTGCAACGGTTGTCAATGCGCCATTCCTTCCCGCGACTGGGCGGCGACTGCGCGGGGCGCGCGCGGAAGCGAGGGCCGCGCGCGGACCGGGCGCCCGAACGCGCGCGACAAGGATGCGCGGGAGAGCCCAGGGGACGACGATGCGGAACAGAAGGGGCCCCTGTTTGGATGGCCGATGCGGAAGCTCGGCGCTCAGAAAACCTCGCAGCCGAGATTCCCGTGTCTGGCCGGCGAGGACATGGCGCGAGATTCGCCAACTCTGCGCGCGCCTACGCGGCGTCGCACTTGCTGCGCTCCAGCGAAGTGGAACTGACGATGTTGAAAATAATCAAGAAGTGTCCGTTCTTCTTCCTCTCTAAATCCGCTGCATCTACTTTTTCGTGGAAATGCCCATGGGCTGCGCACTGGCCGTTGCAGTTCCTAGAATCCCCTCTGCCCCGTCCGAATCGAGATGCTCGGGGGGCGAGTTCGGCGCCGGGTGATTGTCGCGAAACCCCAGCTCGCTCCAAGCGGGGGCGCGCGATTCGATCATCAACTGCGCATTCATTTATCCGCCCCCATCTCCCCGGAGGCCAGGGCCCAAGCATATTTGCCCATGCTTGTGGAAAGGGCGCGCCGGCCAGCTGCTCGGCTAGCTGCCGGGCTAAGTCACCTGCCCAATCATTCACGGGATGCCTAGGTGCCCCTTAACATGCCGCAGTCGAAATCGCTGATGAACCTGGGCGGATTCCGCCACGCCGCGCAGATCATCTCGCATAGCTGCAAGTCCATGCGAAATTGCATATCCTCTTTCCTTGCAGCATCGGCATTCGGCGAATCTGCTTTTGAGGCGGCTGGACATTATCTGTCACTCGTGGGGCCTAGACCATCGCGCCCATGACTCCAATGATCCCTACTGCGGTGCCTCCCCAGTGGGTCGGCCACGATAGGACGGGGTGGTGAAGTAGGCGGAGTGCCCGATACAAACCCGTAGTCCTGCTGCCCCCGGGAAATTGATGAACGGCAGTAGCCGCCCATTCCGCGCCAAACGTGGCAATGGCGGCTTCGTCGGACTAGCCGCATGCATACAAATGTGCGCATGCTGCGGATCCCCCAAAAGATACTGCCCTGTTAAAAAAGTAGCGCCATCCATGCGCGTTGGTGCGCGTCGCCCTTGAGATCATCGCACCAAGTGTCAGGTCCCACTGATAGCGCTGACAGTGACTTGGCTGACCCAATAAGTGCGCGACGCAAGCGGAGAGGGCACTTGAAGGTCCCCAGTGCCCCGAGGAAGTATTGATCATCGACCCTGCGAACGTCCGCGGGCCCCCATTTGAGTCATGCCACTTGTAGTCTTGACGCTGGAACTTGTGAGGCTTGATGGAGGTTTCTCCTGGCGTGCGTGGTCTGACGCTTGCCTGACAGTTGGGCGCCACTGTGGCCTGCGCGCGTGGAGTGTCCACCTTTATCTGCGTCGGCGCGGCCACTAGCTTTTCCATCCTTCCTGGCGCCGTGGATGGAGGGATTGGACAACTGCTGCGGCTGCCTGTTCTGTTGCTGCTACCACTGGCTGTGCCGCTGCTGGAAAATGTGTTATCTCCAGTTTTGCCCTCCACCAGACGCATTATCAACTGCTGCTGCCCGAGCGAGAGTACTTCTCCAGTTGGCGACGCCTGCTCTGCACTGCTGATGTCCTGCCACACCTCTAAAGTAGAGACCGACCCACGAACATTTCGCGCGCCGAGCTCGAACTGCTCTTCTTGCCAATATAGTTTTGAGCATGGCATTGATCCTATCATGTTGGCCTGCGTCGGGGGCTCTAGCAGAAGCGGCTGTAGGTCCTCGGTCAGGTGGTGCTGGCGGTTCGGCACATCGATGCTGATCTGATCCTGCCGACATGGACATGGCGTTACCCCCATCCTCCCTCTCCTGCGCCTCTTCTGACTGACTGCTGCAGTGATTTCGCTGGGTGACCTCCCTGCATACATCGGTCTCCTGATCATGTAGCTCACCGATCGTTTTCCTGAGAGTCTGCAGCTTATCTGCAAGCTTGATGTTGAGCTTCTGCGCAGCCTGCGCCAGGGAGTGCTTGGGGATGCTGATATCAATCCTGGGTCGCTCGATTTCTCTGCCAGCCTTTCTGCAGCAGGAATAAGATTGCCCACGCGATTTCTCTTGGCGCATACCTGTTAACGATATTGTCCTTGCTCTTAACCATTCGCCGGCGAAGGGATTCTGATATGTAGCGTGTACTGAACCGTGGAAATTGCAACAGTTGTCACCTTGGACTTATAATTGTTGCTTCCTTCGGCAATGGAACAACATTGACTGATCTGTTGGGATTTCGATTCGGCAAATTACCTACACTGCGTGCGCGCGGTGTTTGTCGCTGTCCGCTTTCATACGGCTGCCCACGATTGCAATGTCAATGTTTGTCTGATATCTTCTTCCCACAATTGCACGTCCACGGCATATTCCCTGTGCTATCGTGCTGTGCAAGTGTGTGCTGCGCGCACAAGAGAGATGCCTGCAATGTGAACTGTTCAACATTAAGAGGACTGCGCGTTTGCTGGGCCTGGTGCAGTAGCACGCGCGTTTGTGATCTTTGCGGCCTGTCTCGCCTATGCCAGGTTTCCTCCTTGGCTCCCTTCGTCGCTCGAGAAGTAGGATGGGATTCAAGAGCAAAAAAAAACATGTAGTTGTGGGAGCAGAAGTGGGATGGGGTATGTGGAATGCGCGGTCGACGCCCGCGGAGGGGTCAGGCTCGTGTGTGCAGCAACCCCTAACCACCTGAGGATCGGGCCGTTCGGACCAAACCTTCCCCTCCTCCTTTTCCTCCTCCTCCTCTTCCTCAGCCTCCTCGTCCGCCTCCTCCTCCCGCCTCCTCCTCCTCCTCCTCCTCCTCCTCCTCCTCCTCCTCATCCTCCTCCTCCTCCTCCTCCTCCTTCCTTCTCCTCCCCCTCCTCCTCCCTCCTCCTCCTTTTCCTCCCCCTCCCTTCTCCTCCCTCCTCCCTCCTCCCTCCTCCTCCTCCTCCCCCCCCCCAGCGTGGGGAGGGCAAACCCGCGCGAGGGGCCGAGCGCCTCCCAGCACGCGCGCGGCCGCCTGCCAGCCCCGGGCGCCCTCCGGGGCAGCGGAGGGGCCTGCGGGCAGGAGGGGCGTCAGCCCCGAGCGGGCCCCGCGCGCCCTCGCCTCGCTCTGCCCAGGCCGCCCCCCCAGCGTCATGAACAGAAGCACGACGCACGGACGATCGTTAGTGATTTGCTCGGCCTCCGCGGGCCCCTATAGCGGGCCCCGGGGCCGTCAAGCAACGGCTCGGGATGAGGAGCTGGTCGTCCCAGGGATGACGGGTCGGGACCGCTGGGGGTCGACGCTGCGCACAGATCGTGACGTCGGGGGTCTGGCAGTGGCCTCGGGACCGGAAAGGGGGTCAGTCAACGGGGACGGGGCGCGAGCTGGCTCGCATGGCTGATTGCCCTGGCGCCTCCCGGCGCCGGGAGGCGCTCGTGCATGGAAGAATGTCGCCCAGCGGCGGGGCCGAGATCGGCTACATTCCGCAATTTTCGCGCCCCCTCCCCGTTCCCAATCCCTCCCCCCCTCTCGAGTTCAGACACCCGCAGCGGCTACGGAAAACATGGGCACGATGCCCAACAGCACACGTCTTCCAGAAGCGTCAGCGCCCGCTCTTGGGCAGGCGGCCGCCTGTCGCAGATGGACTGAACGTGCGCAGCGTCGCGGACGTCGTATCCGATTCAGAATGGACAATGGACTGCTGTCGGTCTTCGTACCCATTCTTTCCGTACAGTAGGAAGGCGCTTTCAAGTAGATTGGGATCTGGGCATCTGAGCATGCCCGGTGCTCTTCCTCGAATCGGCGGCGAGCCCAGCGGGATGCGCGAGGGGGCGGGCGTTCTCAGAAGGCGGCGGGGCTTCTCGCACGCCCTCGCGCCTTCGGAGAAGAAGCGCCCCAGGCCTCCTCGGAGGACACGGCTTCTCGGCAGGCCAGAGGGCCTCCGACTCCGCGGAGCCCGGCCGCCCTCCAAGCAGGCCTGCCCATGGACACCCCTCCCCCCCGGGCTCGCCGCCGATCGACGCCTGCCTTCCTGGGGAAACCACAGGGCACCCATCCGATACACTGCCCCCCCTGGACCTCTCGACGACCGATGTGGGTACGCACCTCGATCGCACCGCCTTCCGGGCGACCTGGCCCGAGCGGGCCCCCGGGCGCGCCCTCCCTCGGCGGCCCCCTCCGCGGCGGCGGGGGCCGCGCAGGAGCGGGAGCGGGAGGAGGCCGTCGCTGCGCGCCGGCCCGGCGCCGCGCGTGCCACGCCACCGCCCGGGCGTCCGCGTGCCTTTCTTAACCGAGACCCCCTCGGACAATGAAGAAAGCAGGGCGGAAGGTTTTCCGCTGTTTTGGGCCCGGTGGGCCAGGGGGCCCTTGTCGGGCCTCGGGAGCGTCAAAAAATTATCCCGGCAAAGCAACCTAACAGCGATGTGTAGAAGCATATCTGAAAGCATTCCCCTTGAGATTCAGATGAAAATCCAGTTGTAGAATTCTGCTGTTCTCGCAGTCGTAGTCGCATTCGCGATGACAGTCGCAGCGGCAACGGCAGTCGCAGTCACAGCCTCAGCCTCAGCCTCAGCCTCAGCCTCAGCCTGCCTCAGCCTCAGCCTGCCTCAGCCTCAGCCCCAGCCTGCTTCAGCCTCAGCCTCAGTCTGCCTTCAGCCTCGGCCTCAGCCTCAGCCTGCCTCAGCCTCAGCCTGCATCAGCCTCAGCCTCAGCCTCAGCCTGCCTCAGCATCAGCCTGCTTCAGCCTCAGCCTCAGCCTGCCTCAGCCTCAGCCTCAGTCTGCTTCAGCCTCAGCCTCAGTCTGCCTTCAGCCTCGGCCTCAGCCTCAGCCTGCCTCAGCCTCAGCCTGCCTCGGCCGCAGCATCAGCCTGCCTCAGCATTCAAAATGTGGCCCAGGAATGGAGTTCTGGGAACTAGAAGAACACGAAGTGGCCTACAGTTGGCTCCGGGCATTCAAAATCATGCCCAGGAATGGAGTTCTGGGAACTTGAAGAGCACGAAGTGGCCTACAGTTGGCTCCGGGCATCCAAAATGTGGCCCGGGAATGGAGTTCTGGGAAATCGAAGAGCACGAAGTGGCCTACAGTTGGCTCCGAGCATCCAAAATGTGGCCCGGGAATGGAGTTCTGGGAAGTCGAAGAGCACGAAGTGGCCTACAGTTGGCTCCGGGCATCCAAATGTGGCCCGGGAATGGAGTTCTGGGAGCACCAAGAGCGATTTTGCGAGGATGTCCCAAGCGATTTCGGCTTCGGCGGCAGCCTCCCCGGGTCCCGCCCAGACCCCCCTGAGGAGTCATGATGCTCTCTTTTGAGTCCACTAGAGACCTATCAGCAAGAGCTGTTAAGTAACGATCCAGGATGAGAAACTGGTCCCGGGGAGTGGGTCGAGACCTCCAGGGTCGACGTTATGAAACAATCATGACGTCGGGGGTCTGGGTCTCAAGATGGTTTAACGTGTTCCAGGACAGATGGTGGGGGCGTTCTTGCGCTGGCCTCGCGGAAGAGGAAGCACACGTCCGAGCGATGCGAAGTAAACAGGACGACGGGGACACCAGGTGCGCTCGGTGCATCCATTTGGATCGAGAGAGCACTGGTGAAGGTAAGCATCGGCGTCGCGCCCGTGGGGGAAGCGAGAAGGGGCAGGCCCTTTCAGAAGGCGGCGGGGCTTCTCGGAAGCCCTCCGGCCTTCTCAAAATCTTGGTCCGTCGTCGAAGAAGGCGTGTAGAACACTTCTCAGAAGGCCAGAGACCTTCGGAGCCGTCTGACAAGGTCCACCCCCTCATGACTTCCCCCCCCAGGGGAGCCCAAAATCGAATCTATAAGTCGGATCGGCGATCACCGGCAGGGCCGACGCCAAAACCGAAACCAATCGAAAGCCGACGTGCCGCGGGCGGGCCCGACGGGCGCAGCGGCAGCGGCAGTGGCAGCCGACCGAGCCGAAGCGACGGAACGCAACCCGCTGCGGCGCGGCCGGAGACGACCGAACCGCGAGCACCTTTCCCTGATGGGTCTGTTTCCCTGATGGGTCCTCCTCCTCCTCCTCCTCCTCCTCCTCCTCCTCCTCCTCCTCCTCCTCCTCCTCCTCCTCCTATCTATGGTGGTGGTGGTGGTGGAAACAGGCTCATCATTCCCGACGCAACCCCGACGGCCTACCGGGGCCGTCAGCGGGCGAGGACCCTGTTTTTGGGGTCGTTCAAGGTAACGCCCGTGACTGGTTCCGCCCCCACCACGTCACGATTCACGCCGGCGACGCGTGGGAATCAGGAATTTCAAAGCATTCCCAGTCGGCGACGGCGCGAATCGTGTCGTGAAGCACCCCCCCCTCCCCCTCCCCCCTCCCCGTCACGCCCATTACCGCCTGGGGACAAACAAACCGGTCTCAAGATGGCCTCGGGCTATCTTGCTGCCGCCCACCACGGCCACCCCGCCTCGGCTGGCAGCGATGGCCAAAGGCAGTGGTCTCGGAGCCCCCTTGGGAACTTGTTTCAAACATCGAAGGGGAATCACTAATTGTTGCCTTCTCGCCTGTTCGCTTCCGGTGCAGCGTTGAGGCCTCAAGATGGCCAGACGATGGCTCCAAGAGAAGCACCAGGAGGCCCCCAAGACTGACCCCGGGCCGCCCAAGAGCGCAGGCTTTTGTACACACTGGCGCTCGGGACCCGTAGCCTTAGCAAGGCTACCCCGACGCCCCCTCGTTCTTATCCGCAATGGCGGGGACGAATTATTCGGGAGCCGTCTGGGGTACTCTTTTGATACTTTCCTGAGGCGCCACATGGGCCCCAAGACAAGCCTGAAAACGACACTAAGCCACACCTTTCGCGAGGGGCGAGGTTCGGGCCATTGCAGGGGCCGCATCTGGCGTCCTCTTGGAGGCCCGAAGATGGCCCTGGATGGCCCAAGACGGCTCCCGAGAAGGGTCCAAGAGGACCCGCCCTGACACGCCCCGAAGCGACGGCAAAACCTTGCCCCTTGCGAGGGGTGGGTATAGGGCCCTGTTGGGATCCTCTGGGAGGAGGAGGAGGAGGGGGAGGAGAAGGATGAGGAAGAGGAGGAGGGATGAGGGCGACGAGGAGGAGGAGGAGGAGGAGGAGGAGGAGGAGGAGGCGAGGATGGAGGAGGAGGAGGAGGAGGAGGAGGAGGAGGAGGAGGAGGAGGAGGAGGAGGAGGAGGAGAAGGAGGAGGAGGAGGAGGATGGAGGAGGAGGAGGATGGAGGAGGAGGGAAGTGGGAGGGGGGAGGAGGGCGAAGAGGAGGAGGCGGAGGAGGAGTTGGAAAGAGCGAGGATGGAGGAGGGCGAAGAGGAGGAGGAGGGCGAGGATGATGATCATGATGCTGCTGCTGATGATGATGATGTTGATGATGATGACGATGAGGAGGAGGAGGAGGAGGAGGAGGAGGAGGAGGAGGAGGAGGAGGGAGGAGGCGACGAGGAAGAGGCGGAGGAGGAGGTGGAAAGATGGAGGATGGAGGAGGGCGAAGAGGAGGAGGGAGGAGGAGGAGGAGGAGGAGGAGGAGAGGAGGGCGAGGAGGAGGAGGAGGAGGAGGAGGAGGGAAGGAGGAGGAGGAGGGTGAGGAGGAGGAGGAGGAGGAGGGAAGAGGAGGAGGAAGGCCAACGCTCGTGATCGCGGGCCACGGCTCGCGGCGGCGGCGGGCTGCCTGCCTGCGTCCCGGGCGTGGGCGGGGGCCGCGGCTGCGGACGGCGCCGCCCTGGCTCCCTGGGCGGGAAGGGCGGGCGGAGTGGGGGAGGGAGCAGACGGACGCAGGAAGGAACGCGAAGGGAAGGAGCACGGACGAGGAGACGAGAGAGATGGAAAGGGGAGGAGGAGGAGGAGGAGGAGGAGGAGGAGGAGGAGGAGGAGGAGGAGGAGGAGAAGGAGGAGGAGGAGGAGGAGGAGGAGGAGGAGGAGGAGGAGGAGGAGGATGTAGTGTGGGTTGCCCCCAAAGGCACTGGCGGCCACGCCGCACGGACCCACGGGCCCAACTGGGCCAAGGCCCGCCGAGCCACCCCGCGAAATGGGCAGCCCGCCGAAGCGGGCCCCGGCCGCCACCAGGCGGCACTGCAAGGCAAACGCCGCGCCACATCTCGCTTTCCCCGCCAAAGCCCGAAACGGCAAGACCACGTAAGCAGGTCAAGCGGCGGAGGGATGTCCCCCCGAGCCCATTGCGGCGGCCCACACCAGCGTGGATTTAGGCGCTTCCACCCGTTGTCACCCACAGGGTACGGAGCCCCGCCAGCATGGTACTGCGGCCAGTGTGCGCCCTTGGCGCGCTAGGAAGACACGCCCAGCGGAACGCCAACGTGTGCTAGACCAGGCGCAGGAGGAGGAGGAGGAGGAGGAGGAGGAGGAGGAGGAGGAGGAGTAGGAGTAGGAGGAGGAGGAAGAGGAGGAGGAGGAGGAGGAGGAGGAGGAGGAGAAGGAAAGAGAGTGATAGGGGGGGGAGGAGCAGAGAGAACGCGAGACGCCTGGGCATCATCTGGTAGCCTGACAGATTGCAACTCGTACCCGGAGGGACCGACGACAAACCTGTGGGGCGAGCGTGCGGGCAGGAGTTGCGGCACTGGCGGTCTCATCTCAGAGGAACAAGCAACATGATAGACGTAAGCATTCGATGGTCCGCGCGGATGTCTTGGATCCGCGCTAGGAATCCCCTCCCTGGGTGGGTCTGGGTCATTGTCCTTATCCTGCTCCTGGTTGCACTGGTCCTTTCCCTTCTCGTGGTCCTGTCCCTTCTCCTGCTCATCCTGCTCCCCTCCTACACCTCCAGCCTGTCTTCCTCCTCCTCGTCCTCCTCCTCCTCTTTTTCCTCCTCCTCTTCCATCCTTTCCTTATAAGCAACTCCTCCCTGTCGCACCACAGCACGTGTCGGTTAGACGGGCTAGACAATTCACATGGAACATGCTCACCATGACTGCTCCTGAAGCTGGAAGTTTGCAACCGTTCAAGGGCGGAGGGCGGGTCATGTTCCAAATGTGACTCTCGCTTTGGAGCCGTGCGCGGCTGTCAGACAAAACTGGTACTGCTTCAAGGGTAGAGGGCAGGTGTTCTGCTGTTTCCGCAAGTTGGTTCTCGCCTCAGCGACGCGCACTGCCGTCTCAACAGTTTGCAAGAGCTTCAAACATGGAGGGAGGGCGGTTTCCAGCATGTGGCTGTCGCCGCAACGCCGCGCACATGCATGGTAATAAATCACAAACTCTCGCCTTAGCGCAGCGCGTACTCGTCTTAAAACTTTGCGGCGCCTTCAAAGAAGGAGCACGGGTACTTTTCGAAAGTGGTTCTCGCCTCAGCGCCATGCACGTTGGTTGTACACCAGTGTAACAGTGTCGGAGATTCGTAGGGTTGAACTCCCAGGAACGGCGCTCTGGCACGATCAAGAGTTGTCAGGACGTAACAGTCATGTTGATTCGCGGCCTTGAAGTCCCAGGGGCTTGCCAGGAGGCAGCGCTCAAGTTGATTCGGGCCCCTGTTGACCGAAGAATAGTGCTTCGGCACGATCGAAGATATTTGAATGGCTTTCTTGAAACGGGGCACTTCCCGCGATGAAGACGGTTTCTTGTAGGGGCCCATGAAGAGGGAACTTGGAAGGATACTCCCTTACCGCATCACTGATGCGTCTTAGGTTTGCACTGGTCCTCCTCCTCTTCCTGGCACGTGGCTGAGCACCACGCGTTCGTTTCGCCTACCTCAGCAACTGAAATTGTACTGTGGCCGCGATCGCTTTGGCTTGACGTTCATCAGCCGCGATCTCTGTAGGTGTGCGCTTGCTATGGGTAACATTATAAAGAAGAGTGGCAGAGACAGGAACGGCAAGGGCATCAGACGAGGGAGAGACAAGGCCGAGACGGCGGATGGGACAGCCAGGGAGAGACGGGATGCGCAATATGAGGCACAACAAATTAATGAACCTCAGCCCTCATCCACCCTCGGAAAGCCCGCAGCGGCTTAGGGGAGCCCTTGCGAGGGCAGGGGGGCCTGTCCAAGGGCACCCTAGAGCTGTCGGCGCGCGGTCCTCTTCTCGCTCCTCCTCCTTCTCCTCCTCCTCCTCCTCCTCCTCCTCCTCCTCCTCCTCCTCCTCCTCCTCCTCCTCCTGCTCCTCTCGCTCCTCCCCCCCGCCCTTGCTGCCTCCCTCCTCCTGCCCTCCCCCCCTCCTCGCAAGGCCTGCCTGCGCGCCCCCTGGCACGAAGGCCGCGCAGAGGCACGCGGCGAGGCCCGCGCCTGCCACCGCCGCGCCGAACCCCCCCCCCCGCGGCGCTCTGGCCGGTGCTGTGCGGCGGGGCGCGGGGCCACGAGCCTCCTCGAAATCAAACCCTCCTCCCTGCCTCCCTCCCTCCCTCCCTCCCTCCCTTCCTCCCTCCCTCCCCCCCCCCCCCCTTTTCCTTCCCTCCTCCCTCCCTCCCTCCCTCCCTCCCTCCTCCTCTCCTCCTCCTCCTCCTCCTCCTCCTCCTCCTCCTCCTCCTCCTCCTCGTCCTCCTCGTCCTCCTCGTCCTCCTCGTCGTCCTCCTCCTCCTCCTCCTCGTCCTCCTCCTCCTCCTGGTCGACGCGCGAAACGCAATCCTCGATGGAGAAGACTGGAGAGGAAAGACTGGAGAAGGCAGTCTACGATATCCTCTTCATCGCAGGAGAAGACGAGGCCACAGCCCTTCTCGGAGTCAAACACGAGTGTTTGAGGCAGATCGACGCGCGAAAAACGCAATACCCGATGGAGAAGACGAAGCCACAGACCCCCTGGAAATCAAACGCAAATGTTACTTGCCTCGAAGTCAAACGTACGTTTTACTTCGTGATCGACGCGCGAAGCGCGACCCGCGGGGTCAGATGCTCGTGCTTGCGGTCGCCAGTTTCGGCGCGAATATCGAGAGTCTTGGGTTTGGGGGCGCCGCCACGCAAGGGGAAGAACTTGCGTTCGACGTCGAGGAGGGATGCAGGACGGCAACCAGTTCAGGTAAGGACATGTCCAGGATCTTTGAGATCCAGCGGCCCTGCTCGGGGGTTGCTAGAAGTGCCCCTGGCCCAAGGTGCCCCCAGGATTTCTCAGGAGGCCCCGACGGCCTCCAGAGAACCCCATCACGAGGCCCAGAGGACCCCAGGGGCTCCAAAATTGATCAACAGGCTGGGGGCACCTTGGGCCAGAGCACCTTTAGCAACCCCCGATCCGGAGGATGCATCGGGCGCCGCGGTCTTCTCAGAGCGTTCCTGGACGGACTCATCCTCGTCCCAGTCCCGCCCGAAGGCCCCCTCACGCCGTGAACAAGATCACGACAGACGGTGTTTCTGCCACGTCTCGAGCGTGGTCGCTGGTTCCCCAAAGGCAGCTCTCGAACGGCTTCGAGTCTTTTGTCCCGCGGACTCGCCAAAAGGACGACTTCGCTGGCACGCTTTTTCGCAGACGGACTGCTTTTGTTGGCAAGCTTCGAGCGCCTTCGCCGGCTCTCGAAGAGGTCCTGCAGCCTCGGGGTGTTTTTTCGGGCAGCTGCGCCTCGCCGGGGCTGCTCGGGGGTGTGCCCGGATCGCCCCGAACGGTGACCAGAGGCCCCAAGTTGCAGGGCCCGCCCACGAAGTCACCGGTCTCCGAGGGAGAAAACACGGGGAAACGCATGCTTCTACTACGAGGAAGAAAAACGAGGAAATCGAGGAAGAAAAACGAGGAAAAACGAAAAAACGAGGAAATCGAGGAAGAAAAACGAGGAAACGCATGCTTCTGCTTGCGGGCTCCGAGGGCCCTCGCTGGGCCCTGGGACCGCACCAAAACGACGCAAAGGCGAAAAGCCAGTCGCTCGGAGACCATGTCCAGACCTCTGGGGGTCCGGGTCGTTGCAAAGCCAGGCCGTCGGCGGGACTGGGAACGTCGTGATTGGCAGGTCTCCCCCTGAACTTCGAGAGTGTGTCCCCTCGGGTGTGATGAGCGTATTAATGCTGCCCTTTTGTTGTGTCACGTGTTGCAGCAGCAGGGCGTGGGGCGCCAAGGATCGACTGGGGACGAGGAGGGGGGAGAGGGAGGGGACAGGACAGAGCAGGCTCCCCCCGCGGAGGATGGCAGCGGGGCAGGAGCCCCTGACAGGTGGTCCTTGTCGGCCGGCCGCCGTCGCGGAACCTGACTACGTTGCTTCGCAACTTCCTCGGCGAGTTCGGGGGCACAGCAGACAGTGTTGTGTGCCAAGGTGGCCGAACTGCCACTCATGAGAAGGGGAGAGGGCGGGGAAGGAGGAGCAGGCCCTCCTTCTGCTCCCTCTCTCTCTCTCTCCCTCTCTCTCCCTCTCTCCCTCTCTTTTCTGTAGCACAGGCCACATGTTGCCGTCAAGCTGGATGGCATCACCTTCACCATCTGCCTCCTCCTTTGGGCACTTGCATCTTACTCGTCATTCACCTTCGAATTACAGCGTTGCACCGCGGCCCCGTGCCCGCTTGAGCTTGTCCAATTTCCATCATTACTTCCCGCTCTCTGTTCCAAGCGGCTGCTGCTGCTGTTGTCGCAGGCTCACTTTCACCCTGCTCGCAGTCGAGGACGGTCCAATGGTCCAAGGCGCTCTAATGCAAAAGGGGGAGGGGAGGCAGAAGGGGGGAGGAGAACCACGAGGAACAGAGATGGAAAGTTCAAATTCGGAATTCGCACATGTCTACCGTCAGGCGAACCGACGTCCCAGCACCCCAGGGACACAGTGGGTACAGTCAACCCGTATCGCAAGGATGCACGATAAGGATGCAAGGGCCTTGAAGGCCATGTTGACACTTTGTGAGCGGGGCGCGGCCAACGAAAGCGGCCAAGGATGGACCGAGGAGGCAAGGATGCAAAGGTACCCTTGGGAAGGCTGCCGAACCTTCTATCGCGGGTTGACTGTGTAGATATCTGTGGGCCCCAAGGGGGCCCGACCACGGTCACACCCACCGCCTCCTCTACTCCAGAGGTTCGGGAGGATCGCCCCCCCCCCCGGCGGGAAGCCCCTGGGCAGATGGACACGACCAACGCCCTCCATGGGGCTCCCTCCCGACCAGGGCTTCCGAGGCGGACCTGGCCGCGGCGACCGGGAGCCCCCTCCACGGGACCCCAGGAAGCCCGAGAAACGCCAGTGGGGGGGGCGCCGCTGCCTCGGCGGGAAGGAAGCCGTGCTCGGCCTCGGTGCCCTTCGGCTCCCTCGGTCCGCTTCGGCCGCGGCCGGTCTCGGCCTCGGCCTGCTTCTACGAGACCGATGTTGCATCACCAAAATTAGTGAAGTGATGGTTTTCGGGCCTCGGAGCTTCGGCCTGGGCGCGTGTCGGCTCGGAGCCGTAACGGCTCGAAGCCGAAACGGGCCAGAACCGACACGGGCCGAAAGCCGCAAGGGGCCGGAAGCCGAATTGGGCCCTTGTCTTACGTTACTCCCATCGTCCTTAAGGACAACTTCCCCATCAATAATGCCGGGCAGAGTATCGAAACGGTGTCGAACGAGTATCGCCTCCCAGAGCCCGACACGTGAACACCCTTCAGTTTCGGTACTTTCTCGGTGTTCGAAATTCTTTCTGGTGGTTCAGGCCAAAGTTCGGCGGTGGACTAACCTCCCTTTAGTAAACCTCCCTGCAGTGAAAATGCCCTAGGACCGAAACCGACGGACCTGGACCCGCAAAGATGACGGCCTCGACGCCCTCTCGCAACCCGAAACTGGCCGATTCGCTAATCGACGTGTCGGGGTAGGAGGTCTACGAACCTCCGAAACGTGGGTTGGAACATCGCAACCCTTTTCCTGACCGCCATCCTCCGAAGCCGGAGGAGGAGGAGAAGGAGGAGGAGGAGGAGGAGGAGGACGAGGGGGGGGGGAGGAGGAGGAGGAGGAGGAGGAGGAGGAGGAGGAGGAGGAGGACGAGGAGGAGGAGGAGGAGGAGGAGGAGGAGGAGGAGGAGGAGAAGGAGAGAAGACCCCCCCCCGCCCTCCCAGCAGCAGGGGCGCGACCAGGCGGGCCCGCTCCGCGGCCGCCATGCTTCACGGGGGCGCCCCCGCTTCGCGCCGCTGGGCGCCCTTCGGAGCTCGGGCAGGGCGCGCAAGATGGCTGCGGGAGCTCCGTGGGCCCTGGAGGTGGAAACGGCAGGCCCGTTCTCCAGGAGAGGCAAAAGTACCACTACCACCAGCTGGGGGTGGCCGCTCCCTCCCCTCGAGCTGGAGGCACCTCCTTCCGGGAACTCTCTGGAGGCAATGCCGGGAACGACGTGCCACCAGCTCGAGAGGGTGGGGCAGCCATCCCCCTAGCTGGTGGTCGTGGTATTCTTGTCTCTGGTGAATTGTTGTTGCCGGTTTCGTCTTGCCGCTTCTGTTGCTGGAGCGGGCGCCGACTTCTTTCTGGCCGAATCCTGTTCTTTTTCTTGCTGCTTCCGCTTGCGGTTCCGGTTCCCATGCCAGAGCTGTTTCTGTTGCCGTCTCCAGTGGCCGTCTTTTTACCGTGTCCATGTTCAAGACACTCGCTCGGAAACGGTAAAAAAACAGCCCTGCCGTTTCCGGGGCCCACTAAGTGCGGGAGGGGAGGAGGAGGAGGAGGAGGAGGAGGAGGAGGAGGAGGAGGAGGAGGAGGAGGAGGAGGAGGAGGGGGACGAGGGAGAGACCTGGGCGTGGCGGTTTCTCACACAAGGCGTTTTCGCCCGGTTTCCGGCCACGGGACCCCCTCACAGAGGGGGCCTGAGGCTCCGGTCGTGGTCTGTCGCGGTGTCGCACTGCCTGTTTCAACGTCGGGCCTCGGGGATGGAGGGATTTTTCTCGCATAACATCACTGCCAAATGAAGTTCATCAATCCTCTGGTTTGTCTTCGTCGCCCGGGGAGAAGCTGAAAGCGCGTGAGACGTGGCAAAAGATACATCTTGCTTGAATGTTTGACTGCGCGTTGTCATGTACCTGACTTTCCCAGGCGAGAGATGCAGGAAACCCAACGGTGGCAGGAAGGAAGGAAGGGATTGGCAGGGAGGGAGGGGCGTAGAAAAATAAAAAAAACTGCATAGACATAAACGTTCGACCGTCCGCGCGGGTTTATTGGATCTGCGCCAAGCCCCCCTCCCTAGCGCGCGGAGCGTGCCAGGGGCGGCACCAGAGGCGCCGTCATGGCGCTCCAGCGCAGATCCACGAAAAAAAAGCGCGGAGCGTCGAAACATTATGCTTATGGCATTTTTTGTTTTTCTTCGAGGGAGAGGTTCAGGTTCAGGGTCAGCCTGCGTATCAGCTCCGCGGGAGCGGTCCGCGAAAGGGCAGGCGGTGCTCAAAGCTGCACACAATGCATGAGATGCAGAATGCAGAAAATACAGCATGCAGAATGCTTCGAGGGAGAGGGGGGGGGAACAAAGGGACAGGCGCAGGGGGGGACGCAGAGACCTCGGGCGACCCGACTCTTCTCAGTGCGCGGCCCCAGGAGGTCCCGAGACCTCTCCCTCGAAGGGCAAACTCAGGATTTCTCACTGCAAACTCGTGGCTAATAAATCCTGCGCCTGACATCCCGCAAGGGCCAGCCTGCCTCTGCAGGGGCTACAATCAATGCCAAGACATTTCAAGCCAGAAATAGGCTACTCATGGAAACGGGGAAACTGCGAGGCGGAAGACGAACCGACGGAGGAACAACACCGCCGTGTTCCCATGCCGCTTTTGTGTCGTCCCACGATGCTCCTGCAAACGAGGCGGAACGAATCCATGCTGAGATACCCGTTGGACTAAGTTCAGGTCGGGCATGTCCCCCTACAGGCGGATTTCGAAGGACAATTATAAAAGTGTCAAAGAATCTTCAAACATAGTCAAAAATAGAAGAAGAATCGTCCCCATACTATTTTTGGGTGTATTTTTGAATATTCCTCCTGTGGAGGGACAGGCCCGACTGAAGACTGAGCTGCCATCACGAGGCGATGCTGACGGAGATGCCAGGGCGAAACTGCCGGATGCCGCGAGAGGGCGGGGGTGTCTGTCGCCAGCCCGGGTGCCTCGTAGGAGACGGCGATGATCCCGCCAGCGCAATGACCTTGCCGCGAAGCAGGACAAAAAGCGCATGACGCAGCCCGCTGTAGTCGGGGGCGCGCAAACATGGATTAGCGATCTATGGATGTGGCGCGCAGTCGCCAAATCCATGGGTCGGGGGAGGTTCCCTCCCCAAAATGCGGCCGGTGCCGCCTCGCTCGGCGGCGGAAATCTGTGATTCCCCATGGAAACGGGACCCGTCGCTAGTCGACGCCCCCCTTGATCCATGTTTGCGATCGCCTGGTCCGAGCTTGCTCACACCAGCTCCACAGCTTTGTCCTCCCTTCCTTTTGGCCTCGTCTCCCCCCGCTGCAGGAGTGCGCAAGACCCTGCCCTGGCGGGAACGCCAGGTGTTGAGCGTACTCCCTCGTGGCCTTCGCTGCCCCGCGCGCCCCGCTGCCCAGTCAAAACAAGCCGGTACGCGTGGGGGCCGCCAGGCTGCTCAGGCATTGGCTTCTCGCCCGGCTGCGCACAGCCCGGTCACTAAGCCAGCACGTGCCAGCGCAAATGTATGCGTGAGTGAACACCTGCCACAGTGCCTCGAGGCATGCAGGTGGCGCACCCTCGGGTCCATGATGGCCTTTTACGAACAAGGCCAAACATGGAGGTCCGTGCGGATTTCTTGGATCGGCGCTGCCCCCCCCCCCCTGGCACGAGGAGCGCGCCAGGGGCGGCGCTGGAGGCGCAGCCATGCGGGCCCGACGCAGGTTCAAGCCATCCGCGCGGACCGCCGCAAATTCATGTTCATGCAATGTTTCTTGCTAGATCTACAGCGCTGTAGACGGGAGGGAGCTTTGCTTGGCGTGTCGCTGCGGCGGCCCCGGCGACAAGCTATGCCTTGCGAGCGGGTGACGTGGTGCTGCGCTCCGCGGGTCGGAGGCTGGGAAACGCTGGGGACGTTGATGCTCGGGGACTCGGAAGTGATTAAGCGTGTCGCGTCGAAGCGTGGTGGGCCAGAACCGGCGGCGCGACACGGGAGGAGGAGGAGGAACCAGAATTCCCCACCGCAGCCTGCAGCCACGGACCCCCGGAAGGGGTGTAAACTTTCCAGCCGCCCAGGGGCAGGCGCCCCGACGGCGGCAAAGCTTCTGCTATACCCTTTCTGCACGCTGACAGCAGTTTCTGAGAGCACATGCTCTGGCGGGCCTGTAGGCAAGCCGCGACGCCTCGCCACTGCTCGCATCCTCTGCCGCCCGCGGCCCGACCGGCCCGAGCCCGCGGCCCTGCACGCGGCGGTCCGCGTCCGCGGGCAGGTCGGCGGCGCCGCCCGCCTGCCGGGCGTTGTACTGAACCACGGCGCAGGGCAGGCCGCGCAGGGCCTCCGAACCCGCCCCGCTGTCCGGGAACCCGCCCCCTCTGCTCCGTTTCCCCCTCTGTGCTGTGCCAGTGGGTGTGGGTCGTTGTGCACGTGCAGCCACCTGTCCTGCCCCTCCACCTCGGCTGAGGGCCCGAGGTGGAGGGGGGGGGTCACGAGGGGAACTGTGAAAAGAAAAAACTGTAGCCTAGAGCCTCCTCTGCCTTGCCGTCCTCCTCCTCCCTCTCCTCTCGCTCCTTCTTCTGCCTGCTCCTCCGCCGGAGCTGCCGGCACGGCCAGCGAGCCCCTGCGTCGAGGCGTGCTCGGGGCCACAGGGCCTCTGAGCAGGTGTGCCTCCTCCACCTCCTCCTCCTCCTCCGCCGTTGATCGAAGGTCAGTGCCCCCGCCTCCACATATTGCGCAAAGCGTGCGCCCTCGAGTCATGAAAAGGCCTCGGCTTTCGGCCTCTGGGGGCCCTTACGGTAGGTTCGCGCGGCGTCGGCGCGCGCAGATGTGCTTGACACCGCGTCGATCGTTCAATCTGGAGACGACCGCGGCCACGCTCGTTCAAAGTTGCACTCTGTCGGGTCCAGTGGCGTTACCGCGTCCCTCGGTGCTTCCGCGTCGCAGAATTCGACATTGAACGCCGTCGCCGGCGTCGCTAGCGCGCCAACGCCGCATGAACCTACCGTCCCGGGCCTCGGGACATAACAAAAAAACGAATCGGGACAAAAAACGGGTCCCGAGGACTGGGTTGAGACATTTGGGGTCGTCGCTGTAATAAATCATGACGTCGGGGGTCTGGGCTCGGCGCGTCTCAGAATCCTCCCAAACATTGCTGCCCCGATGCGCAGCACGAACACGTAGCGTCTTGGCACGGATCTCGAACCCCGGACTGAAAACGCGAGTCTGGCTAGCGACACGTTCGCCAGAACCTGGACCAACATGTGCCAAGCCAACACACAGCGTGTTAACATGGATGTTTTGAACACGGTACGTGTTGCGTTTCACCACGGGGGTATCAAGGCAACCAAGGACGAAAAGAAACGGGCCTTCAGCGAGATGGCATGGCGACCATATCCGGTGACTTATGCGGGCCGCCCGCACGACACGCTACATTGGAAACGAGGGCGCTTACGCGCGACCTTACGCGGGCAGCTTACGCGCCAATGTCGGCGCAGACGACCCTGCTTTTCTGCGTCGCCCCAATTAGGGTGCGAACAGGTGGGGTCATAGATCGGCGACGCATTGGCGACGTCGACGTGAAGGAAATCGGGATCCACATCGAGCCGCATCGCCGATGCTTCGCGGATGTGTGGCGCGATCTTCCGACCCCATCTACTCGGACACTCGGACCCCATCTGGGAGGCCTACAGACCCGCCCCTTCTGGGCCCGTACCTCCTCGCGTTGCGAAAGAACCGCGACGGGCGGTCTTGAGCAAGTTTCGCCCTCCCAAGCCCATCGCGTGGAGACCTTTCGGATGGTCCAGACAAGGTCGCTCACATTGTGTACAGAGCGGGCGCGGCCGCAAGAAACCCACGCAAGAAACTCAGCCCTGAAAGCCCGCGCGCGAGGTCCAGCTGAGGGGAGACCTGGAGCACCCTGAACGCAGCAGCTTCCCCAACGGCTGCGGGAAGCCACCGCGCAGCGCGCGGAGCGAAGAAACCCATAAAGATACCCTGACGAAAATCACTTGGTATC